GGGGGGGGGGGGGGGCACGACGCGATCACAATCAAAGCCAAAGCCAAAGCCGGTGTACGAATGGCTCGCGAGACACGTCACTTCATTTAACGGGTGCTCAACCTTTCCCCGTTTTCTGTATTAAAAAAATTAATAAAATCTAATCTAAAAAAAGTTATGTTATACCAAAAGACAAATAAATTTTATTTTCAAAAATTAATCAAACTTTTAATGTCGATTCTTTATTAGATTTTTATTATACACTTGTTTGGAGTGGCGATGCTTACTAAAATAATATATTTTTATTAAACTTTACACTAAACGTCTCTTCTGTCGTATTCGCGTGTGATCGATCGATCGATCGATCGTTTGGTACCCGAGATGTAAGAGCCACTGACATTCGTACAGTAGGTAGCATCGAAAATACGGACAGATGGCTTGCTTGAAGTCCTTTATTTTTTCTTTGTGGTGGTGACGACTACAGTGCGTGGACTTTCGTGTTAGTTGTATGTATAAGCTCTCGTACACGCACACTAAACAATAGTTAAATCAGGCCGGGGGGTGGTGGTGGTGGGGGGCACTGTGGGTGTTTAATGAGCTGCCAGTATAGTAGGGGGGATCCCTCAGGAGTGATGAGGTACCTACAGGATACATGAAGGGACCTATGCCTTTCTAGCGTAGGGAGTAGAGCGAGAGGATTTTTTCGGGGCACAACAGAACTTGAATATATATTGGGGGGCAGGAGACGCACATGCGAGGACAGAAAGCGTGTATAAACACACATGTGCGTACTACCACTTGACTGCTTATGCACGGAGAGCGTGTAAAGTGTAGGAATAATATTAAGTGGAATAACATTGGAGAATTTTAAAGTTCTTTGTCACAATATCAAAACTGGGTGTAAGATTTTTTTAACATATTTGGAGTAAATTTAATTCAGTATGGATGCGATTAATATAAAATGGGTTCGTGTTGAGCACGATTGGAAAATTAATCTTTTTTGTTTAATATTTACAAAAATTTCTTTTTGGGTAACAGGTTTGGTGTGATTTACGGATTTTTTATGGTTACTGTTTTTACTTGTTTTTCCTTGTTTTTTATGCTTTGGCGATTAACGTCGCTAGTTCATTCAGGTAAAGAGGACGTTCGGAATATTTGTTGCTTCTTTTTTATCTGTTTCACCTGTTTTCTTTTCTTCCAGAAATAATCATAGCAAATTCAGGTCTATAGTGTCCGGTTACAGATTACGTTATTGTGAATAACGTTATACGTTTCTTCATATTTTATATTATTGGCAGGTTAATAACGGGAAACTCGAGACTTTTCATATTTTCAAAAAGTCGGTAATTGTTTCTTTCGAATTTTCGGCTGTTCTATTTTTTTTTTTTTTTAATACTTATATTTCTCTTCGAATACAAGAGAATCCGATTTTCTATTTAGACGATTCTTCCCTTTCCACTATTATTTTCACGATTCCTCTTACGTTTACAGAATAAAATAACGTAATCCCTGTAGCAGTCCCTAGTTTCGAATGAGAAGTAGTATTAGGTATCTACACGTATATATATATGTCTATATATAAAATATAGCTACTATACTAGTCACTCTATACTAACTGTGCTCCTGTAATCCGGTCTAAGCTCAGCCAACAAGCCCAATAATAAAATGTCCTTCTCGTGATGTCCTGCGACCAGTTAAATCAGCGATTTAACTAAACGCTCCCTTATTCCAAGAATTAATCCGGCTTTTATGCGCGAATGCACCCAGAGTTCACTTGGAAGGCGTCGATGCATCATTCCTGATGCATTTTATTTATTGAATAGTTTTATTATTGCAGAAGAGCCCTGTTTATTTTGTCATTAACTTGAGTATTTTAAATAAAACAATACTAAATAATAATCGTACTTTATTTGCGTACTTGTACGTGCGTAATGGCATGATAAATTTTTGAAAAAAATGTTGGATATCCAGTTGTCCCCTTTCGAAGATTCGATGACGATCGCTATTTATCGTCATCCATATCGTTTCTGTCCCGTCGCCGTCATCCCAGATTGAATGCCGTGGCAGCAGGCATTCTTGAAGTAAATTATAGTCTTGAATGGCCAGCCAGCAGGGGGTTGGTTGGCACGCGTACACTAGGCTACACCTGCCCCCCATAGACATCTGTCCCCCATAGTATTTTCCATGGCGAGTCAAACTCCTGCGTACCTACTACCCATATCCTGCTCCAGCGGAGTCACTGGCTCTTCTGAATAAAAACCCCATTGGCTATTTTGATTGGGTCCTTTTACAATTTCCATGGTTTCGGTTTATAAATTTTTTTCCATTTTTTATATAAACAAATGGTTGTCCTTATCGTTATTTATCATAGGAATCAGGTGCGAAAGTAAATTTATATTTAATATTCGCAATTTAATGGTACAGAATTAAAAAAATTTTTTTTCAGATGCTGTTCAAGACCTAATACTTTTATTGGAATTGGTACCGAACTCCAGGATGCTGAGCGCTTTCACAAACACGTATGATCTCGTATGTAAACAGAGCTTTCCGTATTTTTCTCAATGACGTATCACGATCCCATGCATTCTGCTCGTATGTGACTGATACGTACGTAGAGAAACAGGAGTCGTAACTGGTGGTGGTTGTGAGAGAATGGAACGCGTAGTGGTCGTCGAAGTGGTATTGTTCGACGGTTTACCACAAAAGGCCTGCAAATGCCAAGTCTCAAAAGCGGTGGTCCATACCTAACCCATGTACAAACCTTTTTCTCTAAACAGATGCTGAAATAGGATACCGAAGGATATCTGGTCCGCATTCTCTTTCTCTCCGCACAAATTTGCTCGATAGCCGAGTCACGTGCTTATAGAAACAGACTTGTTACAATTAAAACTGGTTTTGTAGAGGAAACGTCTGTTTTATTTTCAGTTATTCGATTATTGTCCAAAATTATTCTTTTTCAAAATTACTATCGTTATTTTTCGTTAATTTTTAATTTTCAAATTTTCGTTATTTTCCCATTAACTCAATACCCGTGTTGGGATTTCAAATATTTTGTTGGACATTATTTACAAAAATTTTATTTTTCAATTCACTGTCCCAATTATATCCATGTGTAGATTATTAATACACTAGTGGTATAGTTTATAAAAAAATAAACTATATTAAGTATATCTTAATTCATCCTAACAGGAGTGTGAATATTTCACGGCAGTCATGGTCATTAATCATCGATCAAGTGCTCAACGATCGGTCAAGGCAATTTTCCAAAATTCCCTGAATTAGGAAAAGCACATACCCTCCTCATTCATATTTCGACTGATTTTCATAGCTCCCCCTTCCGGTACCCCATCGAATTCATTTTCAGACCCTCCACCGTTTCTTACCGACTCTTTCCGCGCTGTTATATTCGGGCTCACTGACAACGAGGGACACTATAGGGTGGCAAAAGTAGTTTCTACCAGCCACCAGTATGTCACTCCACAGACCAGCACCCCAGCACAATAACTACGGCATACCGTACCAAGTGTAACGATCGATATGTGCACTCTACGGAAACGACCTAACGGTAGGTCGATCAGGATGAAATAAGTGTGGTTGAAATAGATTTAAAAATTTTTAGACAAATTCGATATTTTGGGTAAATCCTAAAACTGACGTGAAAATCGTTTTTTTTTAAGGATTAAATTTGGTTTAAAAATTGGAAACTTTTGTATCTATTTGGCTACCGGCGGATTGTGTCAGTAGTGACAGATTGTGTACATACATTTTTTTTTGCATTTGACTACGTAGACTTTGGGGTTTCTCTTTCAGCCTTACGGGTGACAAATATGACGTGAGTTTTGGAAATTGAGGGAAAGACTCGTAGAATAGCCTATACTGAAAATCTACTACCATCGGATTCTGTACACATATGTATACTACCCGCGACACGGCCTTTTGTCGCGCTCATGCTTGTGCACACGTTGATATATGTGTCGACGGCACATAATAGTTCCATTGAGGCATTACCATTATTGGTGAGATTTGGGGAAAGTACGGTGCGTGCACAACGGATTCGTTGCAGCTTGCTAGCTGTTTGCAAATAGCCCTTGTATTTTGGTATTATCGATCGGCGTACGTCCACGTATGTATATGCCGTTACGATTGGCTAAAATGGTATGACGAATTTGTTAAATTTCTAGAAAGAATATCTAACTCCAATGAAGGTAATATTTGGAAGGGTATAATATTAAGAGGAAGAAAAAAAAAAGTTTGAAAAAGAATTTTTTTTGACCATTCAACTGAAGTTTCAAAGATTTCTTTGTTATCTACAGATTTTCGAAATCTGTCCAACGCTTTTGGATAATTCTTGGATGCGGTCATGATTGATTTGTAATCCCTTGGATTATCGAGGTCCGATGCAATTTCGGGTGACTTTGTGATGCATCTGTTCGCTTGGTGATTTTCGACAATGGACACGCACGTGCCGGGACACGTGTCTACTCATTTTCTCTATGAGGATTCGTGTCATTGGTTCACTTTGCAAAGTGCATTGATTGCTGATCAAGTTTAGGCGTTATCCGGGTTTCATTTTTTTTTCATGACTGCAATTGCATCGGATGCATTGTAGAATTAATTAATGATCAACATATATGGATTAATTATGGTTTTGATTTTTTTTTTCATAACTGCAATTGCAGTGGATGCACCATATAATTAATGGATCTAAGGTACCACATGGATTAACGAAGGTTCGACAAATATTAAAATACACATAATCAATTTTTATAGGTAAAATATAGATACTTTATTGGTAAAGTATAAATTCTGTACAATGTATATATTCCCTGAATTGACAATTCCATTAGATTAAGAGCACTGGCGTGTGGGCGTATCCTTGTACACATTACGAGAAACGTTATTCCAATTATTCCTCAGTATATAGTATAGCACTTGGGTAAGAGTTCAATAAGGCAATAATATTAATACATAAAAAAAATAATATTAAACAAAAATGAGATCCACTATCGACGTGACACGTCTGACTAGAATAAATAAAAGGAACGTACGTTAAACGAAGACTTTGGGTCTTAAAAAAAATTAAATAAAAACTTCTGAATATCAACCCCCTACGAAAGATAGATATTCAAAAACGAATAGTGAGTCAAAAAATACAAAAATTCCTCCTTGTCGTATTTTTTTTTTTTTCCAAAATATACTATATGTCCTTACAAAGTAGATAACGAGCAAATTATCTTCACTAATTATTTTCACATCACTCTTCGCGAATTTTCGACACTAGGTACTCACTGCTGCAGACAGTAGTTAGACACTTTTCTTATAAGCACTGATACATGTTATTGTGATGAGCCATGTGATGCGGTACAGCCAATTGATGCTGTGGCGTATGATGAGCATAAATTCGCTGATCGTAACACTGCTGATATTGCTGTACCGGAGGACTGATGCTCTGATCACTGTAGCAATCATATTCCTGCCATTCCGGCATAAATCGCTCCTGCGGATATGGAAATGCCGAATGCGCAGGACCAAGTCTCTTCTGAGCGGCGACCGCGCAGCTTCCCGTCGATGAGGTAATCATATTTCCGTTTTCACTTATGCTCACCGTGACGTTGCCGACGTTCACCGTGATCTCACCGCTCTCAGCATTACCAAGTGTTTGGGAGAGGGCCCATATGTAATTATGAGCGAAACGTAGAGTCTCGATTTTCGTAAGTTTCGTGTCTTCCGGAAATGTCGGAAGTGCCATTCGAAGACGTTCCAGAGCGTCGTTCAATGTGTGCATCCTGTGACGTTCCCGATCGTTGGCCTTGATGCGACGATTACGTTTAAGACGCAGTACCTATTGACAAATCCAGTTTTTGTAAATACGCCTCCTTCCAAATTTTCCTATTAATTGGTATCAGGGACCATGATGGGGAACGGAAAGAGTCTGGTTCGATTTTAAAAAATTTTCATTCTTATACAGACCTGCGTCGGACTCTTGCAACGTGTGTTTCGTGACTTCTTGCGTTTCTCTTCTTTCTGCGCTGGATACAGTGTCTCTGCTGTAATCTCGTGTTTCGGTGATTCGAAGCTGACGTCGAATCCTGAATCCGAGGAACTGGACAACTCGTCGAATCCACCCTCGCTGCAGAACGAATAGTCCGATGACATTGTTATCGAGAATCACTGAAACAATCGCGATCGGTACGATTAATTAATTAATAAGTAAAATTGGATATTTTATACAATTTTACATATACCCGAAATCATTCATTATGTACAATTTTTTGAACCTTGACTCACCTTACTAACGAATTTCAAAAATTACCAAAATATTCTTATACCGCGTACCGACGATTGGCACATTTGATTGACTTCTAGTATCGATTAATCAGTCCATTGATTTTTATCATTTTTTTTCTCGATTATGATATAAACGACAATTACGTGGATAAGAAGTAAGAAATTTCGAAATCAACACTGAGTTCAGTATATAGTCAGATACATCATACAGGGTAGAAATAAAGTCCAATAGTGTTCGAGACGGGGTACGAATCGGTACTGTGCATGTGCCAAGGGTCTCTTAGAGTATATATACCATCCCCAGGGTATTTCCCTGGTACTCCCTCCATAGTGCCCGAACCACCATGCATGGGGCACCATAGCAAGAGTTCACCCCATAATCAGTGGAATAGGGTACCCGGGGTACCTACCTACTACCCGCTACACTCTCCCCTAGCTCTTACACCCAATACTCCACCTCCATGGGCCCCCTCCCTTAAAAATCCCAGACAGTCTAGAAAGCCCCTTATACTGCTACGCTAGCCTATACGAAGGGCCCATTGCCAACACCATAGTGTACCACCACCACTGCTACTACTAGTACCATAACCACTACTACTAGTACTTATAGTAGTTGGCATTTCCACCCCCTGAGACTATTATGGAGAACGCGTGCCATGGAGATGTAACAGCCTTGTTAGAGGATTAGAGGTTTTGAGGGTGATTACATCGCTTTAAGATTTTACGATCGATCGATTTTTATGCTGTACTTATATTGTGTTCTTAAGGGTTCTTTTACATTGAAAATCTTTAAGAAACAGTTTTCGGCAAATTATTGTCCTGATTAGTTTTGGACCGTTTTTTGGGGGGAAAATTAATAAGGACTTATCGGCTTAGTGGTGAGTCTACCTTTATTGAGAATATTTGATATATCATCTCTCTCTTTATCGTTGCTCTCTTTCTCACTCTCTCTCTCTCTCTCTCTCTCTCTCTATTAGACCATATGTTACTGTTTGGGAATGCCTTTAAATTTGTCTAATACACAGGTTACTTTATCGTTGCTCTCTTTCTCACTGTTTTTTGGGGGGAAAATTAATAAGGACTTATCGGCTTAGTGGTGAGTCTACCTTTATTGAGAATATTTGATATATCATCTCTCTCTTTATCGTTGCTCTCTTTCTCACTCTCTCTCTCTCTCTCTCTCTCTCTCTATTAGACCATATGTTACTGTTTGGGAATGCCTTTAAATTTGTCTAATACACAGGTTACTCCTGTTGATAGCAGTTGTAATTTACTTCCGATTATTGAAAATGGTGTTTACCGTAATCTACTTTTTTTTTTATGTGAACACTGTATTTCTTACATACAAGGGTAACACTGAGAAACAATATTACGATGTGCAAATTTTTATTTGATAGTATGCTATGGATTAAACGTTATATGATCGATAATGAATATTAAGATAGCATAAATTTGTTAAGGGGCCAGTGATGTACTTACCGAAAATATTGGCGAAATTATTCTGGAAAAAAATGCTCCTTCTACGACAAGCAATACACGTTAAGAAATTGATGCACTGTATTAAGAAGTTTCTGCGAGTGAACTTAGTTCGTAAGGTTTTGGAGAATTCAGGAGTTTCACTCTTTGCCCTGCGATGACGACTGATATATGGCACGAAAATAAGTGTAAGATAATCTAATAAAGCTAACGGTGGCCATATGTCACATCCGCTAATCAGTTGATAATACCGCGACATTGCTATAGAAACGAACCTGTGTATACTGAGTTTTGGACGAGAGAAAAATTACCGTTTATGGGATAAAAAAATTAAACTTATGAAAATAATTTCAAAAGATATTTTTGAAAGTTGCAAATTAAATCCCGTTATGAAAGTGTTTAGGATCTTCGTAAAAAAATGTCATTGACATCCTAAGTATATATAGAATAAAAGAGATAAAGAATGCCACATAAAAATTAGTCGTATATACCGACTATGATTTTATCCACTATATTCGATTTTTCCTTATTAGAACCTACAGACCTTTGTAGGCCTATGGTACGCTGCAAATGAAAAATTGTGCTTAGTACGTGAAATGGCGTTGAGAAAAATTCTAACGAAAGACCTAATCGCGAAACGATCGATCACAATATTTTGAGTTATTTGACACGATTGGGAAGGTACCGGTTCAGGACAGTTTAAACAAATAAGTGTTGTCAGTAACTGGTAGTGTGTTTTAGCTCTTTCCCATGTCAAGGATCGAGACCCCTTGTTCGTAGTATACCCATAGAGAATTCGATCGCATTTAATAACACGTCAAAGTGCTTGTCAAGCCTTCGGAAAATGCCGCCTGAATAGGGACTCACTTGTTTCTCTAGTTAAAATCGGGACACGCGACGCAGTGCAGCGAGTGCGCGCGCACCCGCGCGCTTATACGATCTCCGAAAAATAAGAGACTTCACGAGAATAATGATATTACACGGGAACGAAAAATACCAGGCCCACGTGTTGCCTGTTTGCTCAACGATTCGTTATCGCCGGTATATTCACGCATTCTGAGTGTACTGTCAATAATTTGTTCAATGAGAACAAACAGACATCTCTAACGCGAGTTCACCACGGGCTCTGAGTTGAAATTTCACGGAATCTCAGAGCGTTACCCGATGCACTTTGACATAAGACCCATTAAAGTCATCACGCAAAACCATCTTCTCCGATATACGATATATGACGAATATTTGAGATTTCAGAATTTAGTCAAATTTTTGTAAAAATTTATTTGACAATTTTTTAATATTTTCTTACCAATTTTCTTACTGGGATTACGGATTACAAAATTTATAAGGATTCGTAATACGTACCTAGGTCAGCGCTAAGGGTATCATCCCTATGGGCATAATTTGCATTTGGGGTGTGGTGCAGATATCGTTCGATCACGTCCGATGAAGTGTTACGACACGGGGTGTTCTGGAGTACGTATTGCCTATGCATTGCGTTTTAGGGGTTTGTCAAAATCTGTCTCTAAATCAGTAGGAACATTCTGTATCGAATCGATACTAATACACGTAGTTGCTATTGCTCAAAGGGTTTCGGTTATTTTTTTTACGCTCATTTTCAGATCGCCACGTTCACTTTGTGAAATTAATCCATTTTTTTTCTTGTCTCATGGTATATTAATCTTACGATTTATGACGTTATGGTACGTGATAAGTAATACAGGAATTTCAATCCTACACTTTTATGTGGTTTGCATTGTGTAGCCGTGCCAACTGAAGCCAGTGACTGATTCTTTAGGTAAAAATGACTTTCTCTCCTGATCGCTTGATTATTCTTACAATATCGTGGTTAAAGATCGTATTGAAATATACTGACAATAGTATATAGGTATACGGTGTTTATTAAGAGATAAAAATATACTGCGAGAATGCATTATAATTTTGTTTATAAATATACAATATAATTATATGAATAAAATAAAAAGAGATAGACACAATAGAGACACACTTTCACATATTTGGTGGATACGAAGGACAAGATGAAAGCCAGAGATTTCTTACGTTTTTGTGAATTTTCTATTGAAGTCGTGTGTCAGAGAGAGACAAACTTGTGGGGACTTACGTATGTTAGAAGAAGATGGACTCGAAGGCACCGAACTATGACTAAGATATCCTTAGACCGGGTCGTCGCTATGGAAACTAGTGTGACTAGAAATTATTTTGAACTGTAAATTAAAAAGAGAATTTTTAAAAGTTCATTAAGTGAAACTTTATTATATGCTCAAATCATTTTTTTTGTTATACATATTTTGAAGTTCGAGTTATAATTATTTCAATTTTCCAAAATATCAGCCCAGCCGATACTTTTAGGTGCTTACGTTATAGTGCATCATGCTACCTACATTTTTCTTTTTTTCATATTTCTATCGTCAAGCAACCCTTTTTCTTTATGTACCTAAAAAAGTTTACAGAATAACAAATAAAGATTGGAACCATGAAATCACGAGTTACGGTCCGACTAGGTTGAATTTCCCTGTACCTGGGTTACGTATGTGAATACACTGGTAGCGCGGTGTCGCCGATTGGAAATATCGAAAATTACACGAGACATTTGCCGCGCGTCATTACCGTAAAAAATTGAAAATCAAATAGTACGCAGGGAAGAAAAGGGGTTAGTGACAAAAAAAGGGGGCGCTCTAGGGAATATTGACAGGGTTGTAAATTATGTCGGGTTACAAGAATGGGTTACAATTTTCGACCTTTTTCTTTTTTTAGGTAACGATTCGCTCTGATTGGAGGATTTATTAGTGAAATAAACTATATTTACCCTTTCATCCCTTAACGTTTGATACGTATAAAAGTATACGCTGTTTTTTTAAATTTAATTTTTCACACTCAATACACATTCTCTCCAAAGTAGTATTATTTTGAAAAAATTCCAATTTCTTTTTAGAGACTACGCGAAAATCACATCCGGCTACGAATGTACTTACGCACGCTATATGTACGTATAAGACTAGTGTGAATTGGGTTAATGAACTAGTCTATTACATAGCATTTTCCCAGACTCGTTACAGCAGGTAACGCGTAAACGAGTGTCGAACAAATTACAAGCAAGTACTATAAAGGAGCGCACTATGATCTTTCACGCGAGACTCCAGAAATCTCCCACGTTCTTCTTACTGAAGCTTGCGAAACTCTAGAGACCAACCCTAATGACATACACAGTTATAGAAACAACACGCGTCCAATAAGTACATAACCTAACCGTCATTAAACTGGAAAATGCTAACGACCTGCACAAAGAGATTACACAGGGTTATACAACTGGACCTCTGAAATTCGAATTACGGTAGGTCAGAATTTCCAGAATATAATTCAAAAAAATTTTTTGTTCACTCAAAATATTTTCCTAGGAGTGATTGCCACGTTTTGATCGATATGCTGTCTTGTTTTTTCGCATTAAAAAAAAATATTAACAAAGCGTGGGAGGCAATTTAAAAGCGTGGCTAAACTTTATACTTTTTATTTATAGACAATAGTATATTTTTCATTTGGATTATTTGTCCCATGATGGGGATAATATTTAATTTTCCTCCTGTCATTAGCTTCTAGTCTATAGTTATCTTATGCAGGTGAAGTTGTCTGCCTCGGCCTTAGATAACTGTACGTAGCCCCTTCCATTCTTGTACTCCATTCCACTGTTCCTTCGTTTATATTTTCATCCGAACAGTTCAATTCTCGTCGTTTCATTATTAATACTCGTACTAGCCGACCAGTCGATGAATCACTGATCCCTGTTTTCCAGGAGTCCCGGTCCTTTTTATCCCTCAGGCTCCTCCATGGCCTCTCTCGGTACTTCGGTACACAGTATGATTCTCCCAAGTTCCTATAAAATTCTGTAAGTAAATTTGACTGTAGTACCAAACTCTTTGACACAAAATCAAGTAATATCTTTTTTAATTTAAATCACGTTTTTTGAAAAAAATTTTTTTTTCGAAATTAAGCAAAATCCTCAGTCACGTTACCCTTATAAAGTAGCTATTTGAACTTACCAGGAATAGACTATATTTACTCCTTATACTAGGTGTGCTGCTTCTCTCCCACTCTCTTTCGCCTTTTCTCTCTTAGTTCCTTCCACTCCCAGAGTGGAGGCCGCATACCTTCTTACGATGCAGTATGCTCCTGTCTGCCGCTTCGCGGACATCAGTTTCATTTCACGTACAAATCACAGTGCGATACTACGAGTAATTAGTATGATAATTTAGCATTATCTGTGAATAACAACGCAATCATTTATCCGAAAGTGTTCAGTCATTCATGTGTCAGTGTACCCGAATACGTGATGTGAGCTGTACTGTGTAATACATAACTGAAGGATTAATTCTCTTATGCGGTAAGTATTATTATTATTATTCAAACTTTGAATTTTCACAATTCGACCCTTAACTGCTATTCCTTACTGCGGCTATGTTGAATCATCAGAAATGTGTATATAAAATATATAGGGGCTACCGTGTCAGAATTCCATGCGTGTATCGTAATAACGGCTGTAACGGTTTTTTTTCCCCAGTGATCATTAACCGCGCACGTGATAGACTTTTGAAAAATAGTTAGAACTTCCAATTTGAAATATATATTTTTTTTCAAAATTTTCGAATTTCGAAAAATGAATCTTTAGGATTGCACAAATATATTTTTTATATTTTTTTTCCCTTTTATTTCAAAGTTTTGGAGTTTATTGATCTTTAAATAATTTTCACTCGTACGTCATCTCACAAAAATATTTTTGAACAGTCTCATTATGCACGAGAGCAATGTTAGCGAGATGGTCAGTAATGGAGAGTGGAGCGGATTCTCAGTCAGCCAAAAACTGCGCGAAACGAGTCTCCGCCTTGGAGATTTCAATGCTCGCAACAAGAGCCTGTCTCTTCCGTATAGTCTGCAATTCTTAGCTTACGGATAACGTCTTACCGTTATCGAAGGCTTGTAGTGTATCTAGTGATGTATATGACAATGAATAAAGATTCCGTTACTGTATAACAGAATGAACGATCGATATGGGTCACTGTAACAATTTTTTATTTTTTATTATCTATGGTCACCAAAGTTAATTCTTAAAGTTTAAGACGCTTCCGTATTGCGCGATGAGTGAAACTCGTACAGATCTTAATAAAAGATATGCATACAACACAGACTGTCCGTTAATGATTCGGTCGTTAAGCATTTTCGAATTATACAATTATGTAATTAGAGTTATAGTACATAGAAGAGTCTTTTCGAAAAGACTTTATTCGGATACGTTTCTTTTGATCGATATATGTTTTTAAGTTAATTTTTTTAAAATAAATTTTTGCAAATTTTTTATTTTAGTACATAACGATTTGGGCAATTCTTAACCATTGAACAGCTGATTTTTTATGTCTTCACATTTTTCGGGATCAGGATACACGTCCTTCGAGCCATTCGTGCCACTGTCAGTAGACGGGTTATCGGGAATGCGATTCTGATCGTGACTTGTAATTCTTAGAGTACTACTGTACAATTATTCGAATTAATACATATCTTAATACGAGTATAGATTCTGGTTAATTTCCGGGTGGATGTATATCTGTACTCGATGATCTTTACGGAGGATCTTGTGGTATCTTGGAAAATTAATAGCCGTGCTTCCGGGGGCGTCAGGTGGCCGCAACGTAGTGTTTAGGAACGCGGAAGAATTATTAGACGATGAACAGTGTAAATTGTATGGAATAGAAAAACAAGAAAAGGTTACTGTGACGTTCGTTTCGCATAATAGTTACCAGATTTTATAGGATTTTTATTATGCAAAAGGGGGACTGAGAGTAAAGTTTTTTTTTCTTCCGTTTATTTCTAAGAACAACCCGAGAAACGTTCCAGAAAGATGCACGTCATTCTCTTTAGATCTTTCCTCTCTCATTTATTTATTTTGCATAGTAATTCTTAGTAATTATTTTCTCAATCGACGGCGACGTCATTTTAATTAATTTCCCAAAACCACTCTCACTTTTCTCACCGTCGCTTTTGTTAATTTTGTGAAACATAGAAATTCGAAACTTTTGTGCTCGTTGGTACGCGATTCGTTCACACTGCATAAACATACATTTGATGCGTGATTTCGTGCGAAAGTTTTGTTTGATTCGAGAAGAAGTAAGATGATACAAAGTATTTCGAAAAAATAATAAAGTCAAGGGAAACCATGTCACGGCACCTACTCGTTTACGTGCTAAAAATGGAATCTGATTTCTAACGGCTTTTCACTGTGGTCTCCAGCACATTGTGGTTTTCACAGTGTCACCGTACGTGTACTTTACGCGTTCTGGTTATACTTGTCTTCTTGATTGTATATATGTATATATATTATTTCCCCTAATATACCGGATTCCACGTATGCAGCTTGGAATCGAAACTTGTTTTTGTACAGTGTTGCCAAAAAGTATGCGTTCGTTACTCAACCAGCATTACATGGCGAAGAAAAAATTCATATAAAAAAAGCCTCGAATTGGTGATTTTCTCAAAAATATATTTTTTTCAAATTGTTTCTACATATTTCAGGTGACGATGTGGCGTATTTTCCTGATTTTGATAGCAACAAGCAGGTCAATATGCGGGCAGGTGATCAACAGAGCGCCTCACTTTATACAGGGTGGCGATATGGCACGTCTTGCCGTATCCGAAGGTACACAGCCTGGTGCACCAGTGTACACGCTCCAAGGAGAAGATCCTGAAGGATCGAGATTGCATTATTCCATAAGCGGAGAATATTTCACAGTAGACAGAGAAACTGGCGTTGTGATTTTGAGAAAAGCTCTAGACAGAGAAGCTCAAGATTTGATCGAAGTGATCATCAGTATAACCGGTTAGTACGTAGTGATGGAATCCGTCATAGTAATTTTCATTTATCATATTATTTTTTCATCCTTTCTCTTTACACGTCCTGCCACGTGCACGTATCAGTATACCTGGTGGTAGAATTAATTTTATACTATTACGCAATGTTATTCTTTCTAGCGGACCTTTTACTAACAATAGTAACAATAGAAATCTCATTGCTATCGCTCCGGTCGATCGAGATTTTCGAAATTCCATTCACTTTACTCTTTTTTTGTTTTCAGACGAAGGTATCGCTGGTTCCGAACCCAACACGGTATCGTTACGTCGTGAAATCGCTGTACTCGATGAGAATGATAATCCGCCGGTATATCACGGACGTCCCTATGCTGCTCGAGTACCGGAAAACGCGCAAGTTGGTGGCCTTCTACTTCCGGCTGGTACTATCATCGTGACGGACCGTGACGGAGGTGTAAATGCGGACGTACGCGTGGACTGCATACCGGCATCACGTGACGATGACGTCTGCGAAGTTTTTGAAATAAATACCGAGAAGGTTTTTTATTTTGGAATTACTATGTGAAAATGATTCGCGAAGTATCTGAGATGACAATTATTGAGCAATTCGATTGATGATTTCATCTTCCAGATACCTGGAGTAAAAGTGTTCTTACCTAAATTCAGTACTGTTGTTATTATAGCTGGCAGAAGGAAAATACGACGTACAGATTACGTTGAAAAAACCGTTGGATTATGAGAGAAGAAATTCGTATTTAATTAACTTATTGGCCGTCGACGGCGCTAGTGATCCGTTCAAGAGGTTAAAAGCACGAGCGACCGTGGCTGTCGATATCCTTGATGTTCAGGTAATTATTTTAATGGCAATTAATTTGTGTTAATTTCATAATTAAATATATTTTTTATTAACTATCTTTTTTTTAGGATCAACCACCAACTTTCCTCAATGCTCCGTACAGTGCAGCGTTGCCTGAAAATACTCCTGCGGGATACACTGTTCTTACTGTTAGAGCTCGCGACGGCGACACTGGGCAACCCAGGGCGCTGCTGCTCAATCTCGAAGACGAAAGTGCTGGACATTTCGTTCTGGAAATGAGCAGAGACGGCGACATTTCTCTAGGAAAACTCGTCACGACGAACGTATCGCTGGACCGTGAGGATCCCACGATATTACAGAACGGTGGAATTTATACGTTTCAAGTAAAGGCCACGGAATTGATAAATAATGAAATTCCGGCTGATAGTGCATTATCTACCGTTACCATCGTCATTACTGATGTTGATGACTTGGCACCAGTTTTTAACGAGGAGTACTTCAGTATTAAAATATCTGAGGATATTGGATTGGACACTCCACTTCCTGGTATGAATTCCATTTTTTTGGGATTAAAAAAAATGTATAAAATAATTTTACTGTATAAATTATTAGGACTCAATATGGTCGTGAGTGATGGGGATGTTGGAGACAATGCAAAGTACGTCCTGGCGCTTAGGGATGCTCCAGATTATCCTGGATTAAGCAAAGCTTTCGCGGTTAGTCCTGCCGATGCACAGGGAAGAGTCCCTGTTGTTATAAGGCCCAAAAATATCAGTGTCTTGGATTACGACGTGGAGGATCCTGCTAAGAGAGAATTGGAATTTGATGTAATTGCTTTAGTAGCTGGACAAGTTGTACGTTATACTGATTACATAAAACACATGAATTAATATAAGCGATTGCTTAAAAATTTTTCTCCGTTTCAGGTTGCATATTCTAGGGTTCATATACAGATACAAGACGCTAACGATCATAGTCCTCAATTTGCAGAATCTTTGTACAGACTGTCCGTCCCTGAAAATGCGACAGTAGGAACCAAGTTTGGTGACGTATTTGCAACTGACAAGGACAGTGGATCCCTCGGCCAACTGACGTATACACTACGTGGATTTGGTGCTGATAAATTCCGCACGGATCCAAAACGCGGCGGAATATTTGTCGCTAAGCAATTGGATTACGAGACGCAGAAATCGTATTCGTTGACTATGGAAGCCAAGGATGGCGGAGGTCGTTTATCGACTGTCAATATATTAATCGAATTAGAGGATATCAATGATAACGAACCTATTTTCGAACAAAAGGAATATTCGAGAACGGTTCGTGAAGGCGCAACCAGTTTTGATCCGCAAATGTTCGTACGTGCTACAGACGTGGATGGGCCCACTCAAGGAAATGGAAAAGTAACATTCTCTATAAGCAATCATAACAGCATGACTGAGAATGTCTTTAAGGTATGTGAAAAATATAATATTACTCTATCAGACAATAGCTACCGTGTATAAATAATTATTATATCTAATAATACATTTAATCGAAGGTCAATCCAGACACTGGTGAAGTTACTATGCAAAAACCAGCTCGTTCAGGTGATACCGAGCGTGGCCTTTATGAATTGAGTATAAGGGCGACGGATGCAGGGGTACCGCCATTATATTCTGAAACAAAATTACTAGTTCGCGTTGGTGTTCCTGGTAATCAGAAACCTATTTTTCGTGGAAATTACAAAGCCGGTTTACCTGGTCCTAATACGTACCGTGCTAGACTCTTAGAAAATGCTACTCCTGGTACTGAGGTTGTTCGCGTAGTAGCGAATGATCCTGATGGCAGGGACAGTCTGCTGCAGTATTACATAGCTGCTGGTGCAAAAGATAATTTTGTTATCGATTCGAGGTAAATTATTTTTTATTTCTTACAAATTTTGATAAATCATTTAAAGATTTGTCTTTCATATACTGAACGTATTTACAGTTCTGGTATTATGACCGTGTCACCTGACGCAAGATTGGACCTGGAAGCTGGAGGTGACAAATACGAAGTTATAATTTATGCAGTTGATTCGGGTACACCTGTCAGAGAAACAGCTACTACTACGGTCTCTGTTAATATTATAGATGTTAACAATAAACCACCAGTTTTTAATAACTCAACATATTTAGTATACGTTTCTGAGCGTGCGTCAATTGGTACGTATTGGTATTAATGGAGTGATTATAAATTTAATTATTTTGGATTATTGATATTAATTAATTGTTTAACACTTTCAGGTGAGTCGGTAATTAAAGTCACTGCCACTGACCCAGATTCCGATGCGAATATTATATATTCCTTGGTGGAACCAATAAAAGCTGTGGACAAGACTGGAGTAGCCTTAAAGAGTACACAGCCGTACGATTACAAGACTGCATTTCGAATAAATTCGACAACTGGATTAATAAGTGTTAATCGAGTTTTGGATTACCAAGTGGCAGCAGTGGTAATATTAACGGTAGAGGCGCGAGATTCAAATGCACTTGTGGATAAGGAGAAGCAAGTAACGCGAGTCGAAGTTACTATTTATATTCAAGCTTACAGTGACGATAACCCTACCTTTAATAATGTCGGATGGTCACCGAATAATCCTACTATTCGTGTCACGGTACCCGAGGAACAGCCACTAGGAACAACGTTGTTAATGTTATCAGCCAAAGAACCAATGACTGGTTATCCGGTTCAAAGATTTGAACTTGTCCGCGAGGATGATGATGAAGGCTATGTAAACGTTGGTGTTCAAAGTGGTAACGTAGTACTGAACAAAAGATTGGATTACGAAGCACTTAATCAAAAGGTTTGTACTAATTGGCAAGAAATTTTTATTGCGGTAATATTTATAGTTTACTTTTTTTTTTTTTAATAAAACTATTTTTTGTGCAGTCTATCCGTTTCAAAGTACGCGCCCTGACTCGGGATTACGAAATAACACGAAAAATGTCGGAAGCCAATGTTATCGTGGACGTGCAAGATATAAATGACAACGTTCCAATGTTCAGTCAAAAGGATTACAAAATCTCAGTTTTGGAATCGTCGAAACCTTCGAAAATTGTATTAAACGTCAAAGCTACTGACATGGATAGTTCGAATACCGAACAAGAAGTTAAAAGGGGTTATGGTGAGGTTAGGTATTCGATAACAGGAGAAAATGCAAACATGTTTGAGATCGACCCCATCAGTGGCAACGTTAAGGTATTTTATACGCAAAGAAACACGAAGAATAAATTATTAAAGAAAAGAATGAAACGCACCTTTTATTGTTACCAATGATTTTCAGATTGCTCCCAATACCACACTGGATCGTGAAAGACAATCGGTACTACGTTTTTACGCGGTTGCGTCGGATATGCCTCAGGGTGGTGCTGATCAGAAAACATCACGAGCTTTGGTGACAGTTGACATTCTAGATGTCAATGACAATGCCCCGACATTTCCCCAAGATTCCTACACAGCTGTCATTCCTGAAAATGCGCCTGCAGGCGTAAGCGTTGTGAACATAACAGCAACGGATCCTGACGAGGGTAACGGTGGCGTCATTCATTTTGAGATCATCGACGAAGGAGAAGCCAATGGTAATGCCATTAAAAATTCAAACTTGGTCCTTACGACACAGAGTTAAAGAAAGTCAGGATTATTTATAATTATATTGATTCATTAGGTCTTTTCAAAATTAATCACACAACCGGTGAAATATCATCAGCTGGTCAGTTAACTGGCAAAGGTAGAACGGAGCCATACAACATGAGAGTTCGCGCACAGGATAGTGGCGACCCTGTACTATTTTCTGATGTACCATTGACTCTATATATCGGCGATGTGGTCAGTAATGATGGTGTTCCACTGTTTATAAGACCAACATTGGAAGAAGTTGCTCATATTGCTGAAAACTCAACGGTCGGCAGTCCTGTCTTCCAGGTTGTCGCATCCGATCCGGATGATCCAAACTTGCCTAATGGCAAAATGACTTTTAAATTTTTGGAAGATGGAAATTTCGAGAATGACGCCTCGACATTTAGCATCAACAGCGAGACCGGATTGATAACTACGCGAAAATTATTGGATCGTGAAACAAAGGATAGTTACACGTTGATACTCATAGCTCAAGACTTGGGTGATCCGCCTCAACAAGCTACAAGAGTCCTACAGGTGATCGTTGATGATATCGATGATCACAAGCCCCATTTTAAAAGGAATCTTGATAGTCCTCCTATCGAATTAAGTGTATACGAAGAAAGTCCCATCGGAACAGAAGTTGGCATCATTGAGGCGATTGATGAGGATATCGGTGATAACGGTATGATCGATTATGTGATAATCTATGGAAACGAAGGGGCTCTCTTCACGCTCGAAAGACTTGAAAATAATTCTGCAGTCATTCGATCGGCGGCTAGATTGGATCGCGAGAGTGCAGATCGTTACTTGCTAACGATAAAGTGCTTCAAGTATTCGATGAAGAAATCGGAAATTGCACCAAAACCGTATAACAGACAAGATCCGTCGGAGAGACAGGTGCTTGTAAAAATTTTGGATATTGATGATAATAAGCCTAAATTCAAAAAGGATAATATTACCATTGGCGTTCGATTAAATGTGCCGATCGATACCAGTTTAATAACTTTGGAAGCTGTGGATGTGGATTCCGATGCTCTTCCCATTAATTATAGTATGGGGAAAGTGTCCTTCACTTCATTGGTTGATCCATCCATGTCAATCGATGAAATTCCTTCTCAGTTCTCATTAAATCCACAAACCGGTGAATTGAGGACTACAGGATCGATGGCTGGATATGCTGATGGTTATATGGAATTGCCTATAAAGGCAAACAACTCCGCATTTCCAGGCAGAGAGACGACTATAAGTCTAAAAGTATTTCTATTGCGCGATCGTGATATGTTAAAATTCGTCTTTTCGAAACCACCCGTCGAAGTAAGGAGGACATTGGAAGATTTTGAAAAGGCTGTCCAACATGCACTCTCACTTCCTATAACAGTTAACGTTTATGACACCCAATTTTACTCAAAGGAGGACAATTCCTTGGATTTCTCTTCGACAAGCTCCTGCTTTCAAATGGTCGGCAAGGAGTCGTACGACCTTCATGAAATGAAGGCTTTACTCACCGATCCGAATAATGAGGAATTAAAAAAAGTTTACAGTGCGTATCACGTTGATAAGGTACAAAATTGTGCTGCACTCGTTGCCAGAACGGATGCATCTATGACGCAAATGTGGGTACTGGCAATAGCTGTGTTGGTTGGAATTTCGGCTATTGTTTCCAGCTGTGCACTATGCTGTATGCATGCTAAGTAAGTTTGATTCATGAAAATTGTAGCGTTACTTGACAAGCATACCTGTTGAATTTAAGGATTATTTTTATTAATTTTTCTTTTTTCCCCTTTAGATATAAAAGACAAGTAAAACATGCTAGACTGAGGGATCAACCGCGACCACCATTAAGTTACGTTTCAGCAGGTCCTGGAATGGTCAACGCAACTTCTCATACTACTTTGGGTCCAGGTACTATGGTGACTTTGGGACCTCACGAAGGGCCTTATGAATGGGGTGCTGATACTACACTTTATCACCCCAGTACATTGTCGCGAGCATGAATTCCCAAAGGAATTTAAGTTATAAAATATATGTTCGCTTTCATATCAAATAAGCTCTGTGAATGGACGTTTAAGGACATTGATGACGTCTATTTAAATTACGTATCTGAATATGACAGAAAAATTGCAAAAAATATATATAGAAGTGTTTTTCATCCAGTGGTGCTATAGTGATGCGAACAATTTAAGAGTGATCTAGTGTTTATTTATTTTGTGTGCAAAGAACAAAAAGTACCGGAAACTCGTTGTATCCTTTCTGAGGAGTAGGAACGATTTATATAGATTATTCTTTTCTTTTAATTCTATATGAAAACTAACTGCGATATTGTATAGTTATGGATTTAATTACTTACCAGTCCACTTTGTGGCTTTGTTGACAAATTATTAATGAACTTTGCAATTCAGCAATCGAATTTTATTGTATATTTTCCAGTATTTATGCATATAAATTGTACTAGCATCTATCGTACTAGACGTATGATATTTGTCTCGTTTGTTACTACAAACGTACAGTCTTCCAATGGTTTTATAAAATTATTGAGTCCTTTTGGAATATTTCAGAAAGGAGATGTAAATATTAAATAATGACTGTATAATTTGCCTAATGAATCATAATCAAATTCATTAGTGATTAAATGATATTCAGAATCACTCCAGTCGAAGGCTTTTGAACATATAACATTTCTACTACCATTAAAATGTCAAGGTAAAATTTAATACGGTGTGTAATATAAAATTGAATTTTGTCATATAACCAACATTTTATTTATGCTCATTTAATACGAAGGCTCGTATAGCACTCCAAATTTTTTTCAATTAACTGCAACAGGAATACAGTGTTGTCTTATCACTGGTTAAGTAGGAGGCCATTAGCAAATTGCTGAAATCCTTGTACAGTGTCTATATCAACAATTTTACTGGTTTCATTATTCTTATCATTAACTTCGACACTCGTGGAATTAGTGCAATCGTAACACTGATGACTGGTTGTACTTGAAGTCACTTCTTCCATATGAAAATCATTACTCTTGACGGTAGTAATTTCCGTAATTTTATGATTACATGGAAATTGGTCGGTTTTCTCGGTATCATTGGTACTCGATATATTTAATGTACTCTCCTGATAACGACTTGTTAATAACAATTCATCGTTATCATTAAGCATATCAGATTCCTCGAATTTCGAATCCTCGATTGCTGAGTGATCAGTCAGTTGCTTGGCTATAGAATCGAAAGGCGTTATTATTTTTTCCATAAATGATTGACCATCCTCTGAATCCATTGATTTCGATCTCTCTAAAATATCGTGCCTGAAAAATACTTATGTATATACATATACATTCTTGAAATATGCAGCTAATATTTCTGTATACGTTGTATAATTTTTTTTTCATGAATACTCAATGAGGAAAAGATTTGCTAAACTATCAAGATGGTAAGTCTTTCGAGTGGAATTCTCAATGATTAAGTTCATGGGTGTCGACATTGAGTTACATCCTGTAGGCTGATGATTAGTGACGAGGTGTGATTTGAAGTAAAAGAAAAAAAGTAATGAAGAATTTGTTTTCTCGATTTTTTTTTGTATTTTTACTTCTTCAATCACTAACGATGTCGTCACTGGAGAAGAACATCGTAAATTTTCGACGACCTTCAACACGAGGGATTTCAGGAACTATACATCTTAAATTATTCAGTGAAAGTTTGGTCAGATGAAAAGAATTTTGATGACTTTACAAGATGCCTCGGAAGACCAAGTGTTAAAATTTTTATGATTTCTCTAGAAATATTTTTTTATCATAAAAATAATATAACTGTTGATTATTTTTATACTTACCTATTTAATTTATTCCTTTTTCGAGGATACAAGTTCAAGTGAAAAATCATGTGCTGCCTTTCGTCCTCGTCATTGAATCCTTGCTGAGCTGGCACGGCGAGAATAGGAATCGGCTGTGTGGATGGATTGTAAAATTTACCACCTCTATTGTTATAAGCAATTGGTCTTCGTCGATCAAAGTCCTCTATGTTTAGTAATTTTGGTTTAGTCGACTTTTTTGGTTGATCTATAGCGTCCGTGATTGGATAGATGTCTAGCATAATGGTAATTGGTTTGGCTTTGCGCTCTTTTGAAAAATGTGTGTACAGAGAGGAACTGTCGTGATTAGCCTCCTCCGCTCCAGGGGAATGTTTATTAAAATTGGTTTGAGGTCGTGAAAAAAATGGATCGTAATTTCGATTATATCTATGTATTCCAGTAGGTGAAAATCTGTAAGAAAATAATTTTTGAGTTTTATCCGTTTTAAAAAATTTCGATTTACTCGACGCTTTAATTAGTTTACCTGAAATTTGACGTTGCTAATAAATTTACGTCTGCCGGATGTTGCGGCTTATACGGATAAAATGGGTCCGAATTTGTACCGATTGTATAAGGTGGACCTTCGTACTCTTCGGATCCTTCACTGTTTATCGTGGATTTCCCCACTTCCGGAACTAGATCATATTTTTTTGGATTTACGTAAACGCCCGTAAATTTAATCGCACGATTTGGCCTTTGAGAATTCGTCGTGAGGTACTTTATGATATCCTGTATGTTTCTTGATGTTTGCGGATAACGGTATTGACTTAATTGTGGATATTTGCTGCGTTTAAATGAGCTTGGTTTTGGGGTTTTTAATTCAAAATGGAAAGGAGTAGGACGAGATTCCTCAGAATTTATATCTTCCGTGGATGCTTGATTTTTGTATCTGTACAAAAAATTAATATTCAAATTTCCATAAAAATTGAGTATCCATCGCGCAATTGCTTCACGTGTATTTTCACCTCTGTCTAATTCGATGGATCAATGCATGATTGTCAAGTGACTCCTTTCCTTCCGTTTTATCTTCACTCTCGTCACTTTCCTCGGAATCGACAAGAGCTTTACGATTTTCTAAATTTGATAAATTTATCGCACCGTATTCCGCATTTCCTGGTGCCATTCTCTGAGTTCTACTTTCAGTCTCGCTCTTATCAATTGAATCATCATAATTCAATAACAAGTCACGTTCATCGTCAGATCGATCCTGCATTAAATGAACTTGCGTGGGATTTGTCGTGACATCCGAAAGTGTCGTAGTACTCGTGGTACTTCTCTTAGAAAAATTATTTGACTTTTTCAAAGCATTTTGAAGTATATAAATATGCTTGGTCTCCTGACTAGCTTTACCAGTAACCGACGCCCCAGACGTGAAATCGTAAAGAAAAATTCCAGCCTACATAAAATTAAAAATGAAATTGTAGATATGCATTTTTTGAAATTATATATCGTAACGTATATTTTTTTTTTCAAAATCAGCACGTATCTTAAGCAAAGCGTGAAATTGTTATATGCCGTAAAAAAATGTGTGCTCGTTAGAATTCTTTACATGCGTGTGTAATTGTTTGCGTGCCAGCTATCGCCGTTATATTAAATGTTAATTGCACCGTTATTACGGCCCTCTTTCTCCTATTTACAAGCAAATTTTTTCTTCTCTTTTCTACGTGTTTTTTTTTCTTTCCCATTTCCTCTCCTCCGCTTAACACATTATTCCTGTCGGAACACAGTTAACGCCCTATATGTGTAGCACGCAGAAATATTCTGACATCAGACGCGCTTGGTCCGCCATGCATGCCGGACACCTTAATGCAATTATTAGCTACTTTGGAGAAAATGTGACTTTTACACACAAAGTTCCTTGAGGAATATTGCAACAATTGAATTTATCTCGCTGATTTGATTTCTATTTTAGAAACAATTCAAAATTAGTGCAATAATACTAAATAGTCGTTTATTCGTGTTAAAGGGAAATTTCTTCCGTTTCTTGTACCGTACAGACATTTTTTTATGGATGCACTGGAATAACTTGAAAGATATATTTGGTGTCGTATGAAGATCTACTCGAGTACATTTGAATTGTATGTGAAAGTAAAAAGAGGACAACCTATGGAAAGCTTCTCATAATTTTATGGTGATTTTTCTTATTGTTATTATTGTTGATATTATTATTGGATATAAATTATTTATCAGATAGATATTAATTGGATTATGGATTGGATTTTATGGGAATTTTACAACGTCGTAAGTAAGGATCTAGTGATTTGTGATTTGGAAGACGATTAATTAATAGAATACAGGAAATAGTAATTGGGAGTATTCCTTACCACAATTATTGATATGACAGCCATAATGCCAATAACGAATTCTTTGACTGTAGCGCCGTGTCGATTCCTCTGATAACGATCGCTGCGATCCGAATATAATCCAAGTTCGGAAGTGCTAATGGCAGATCTACGACTGTTATCGAACATTTCTTTTGAACCGAATTATATCTGAAAAATCTCTTTAGAAAAATTTCTTCGTCCGTCACATCATACGACGTTTAATTATTGCACTTGTCAATGTGAACTGCTGTACAAAATTATTTTCGTTATCTTTGCAATGATAATAGAAAATTTATTCATCGATATTCTTAGTTTCACGTAAACTTTTAAAAGCGTATATAAGACCATGTAAACTTTTGAGGTCCGATTTTTCGATAATTCGACCGTAATTTCCGACAGCGTGCTTCTCTCGGCGCTTTAATAAAGACTAGTGTCTTCATATTTCTCGCTGTATGTTTTCACCATAGATTGCTATCAGCCACGAAGAAATTTTCATTCCAGAAGATACGTGGGGGAGTACATTCTTATATGCGTGCATACAGATTTTGCTTGTATACCCAATGTTGTAGACTGTGTAAATTTTATGGGCTACTTACGCCGCTCGGGCAAGAGTCAAGTCATGCCCCGTGGAATATTAAGTGCACGAAAATCCTCCTTTCATATCTCATCATCCAATTTATCCATCACGTGATACGTTTGTGACGCTTCATGTATATACATTTTTCAATTTAAATACGTCATTCACTTCATTGTTAACTTATAGAAAGTTAGTGTAAAAAAAAAATAATGAAACGATTGAATTGAATGCTTCAAATAAATTAATTACGTCAATTATTCATTGAAAAAACTTACGAAACATTTATTACTTCTCACGTACTATATCTTACACGCCTAAATTCCTTTTCTTTTTGGTAGAGCTTTACTATCTATGATAGTGGAGTCTACTATAGGGTCACTGTTCTTGATAACCACAATCTCTTAATGTATTAATGGATTTTTTTGCATTATTTTTAATTAACGAGAACTCGTTAGTGTTATTCTCTTTAACCTAAAGTCGTTTAACGTTTTCGAAGCTCGAATGGTATATCGGGGATTGGATAGTTGTATCCAACGAAGGGTTTGGCTGGCGTGGTTGGTGGAAGCGTTGGGCTTGGCGCTGGTGATCCCGTTGGTGGTGGCAAGCTCGAAGTGCTTGGTGTTGGACTGTAAAGGGGAGTTGGGTATGGTGGTGGTTTGACAGTCACCTGTACTGGTCTTGGCGTCGAAGGTGGAAGATAAGGTGGTGGTCTTGTGTGGGGTGGTGTACTATCTTTAGGCGGTAGATAGGTTGGTGGTTGAGTTGTTGGCGGGGGCACGTAAGGCGGCCTTGTTGGCGGTGGTGGTGGTGGCGGTGGAGGCACATATGGTGGTCTTGTTGGTGGAGGTGGAGGAGGAATATAAGGTGGTTTTGTTGGTGGTGGTGGTGGCGGAGGAGGCACATAAGGTGGTCTCGTTGGAGGCGGCGGTGGAGGCACATATGGTGGTCTTGTTGGTGGAGGTGGAGGAGGAATATAAGGTGGTTTTGTTGGTGGTGGTGGTGGCGGAGGAGGCACATAAGGTGGTCTCGTTGGAGGCGGCGGTGGAGGCACATATGGTGGTCTTGTTGGTGGTGGTGGTGGTGGCGGAGGTACGTATGGTGGTCTAGTTGGTGGTGGTGGTGGTGGTGGAGGAGGCACGTAAGGTGGCCTTGTTGGTGGTGGTGGCGGTGGTAAATATGGAGGTTTAGTTGGAGGTGGTGATGGTGGTGGCGGAGGAGGCACATAAGGTGGTCTAGTTGGTGGTGGTGGTGGAGGCGGAGGAGGAATATAAGGTGGTTTTGTTGGTGGTGGTGGTGGCGGAGGAGGCACATATGGCGGTCTTGTTGGTGGTGGTGGTGGCGGAGGAGGCACATATGGTGGTCTAGTTGGTGGTGGTGGTGGAGGCGGAGGAGGCACATAAGGTGGCCTAGTTGGTGGTGGTGGCGGTGGCGGGGGAGGCACATATGGTGGTTTTGTTGGAGGTGGTGGAGGCGGAGGAGGAACATAAGGTGGTCTTGTTGGTGGTGGTGGGGGTATGTATGGTGGTCTAGTTGGAGGTGGTGGCGGCGGAACGTATGGCGGTTTTGTTGGAGTAGGGGGTGGTCGAGGTGGGAACGTCAATGGGTTATCTGGTGGCGGATAACTATATCCAGGTGCAGGAGTTGTTTTCGGTGGCGTTGGGGGCCTCGGTGGGGGAGGCGCTCTTGTAGTAGGTGGTGGTGGAGGCCTCGAGGGAGGCGGTGCAGGCGGCAGAGTCAGTGGATTGCTTGGTGGCGGATAATTGTAGTTAGGGCGAGGGCTTGTAACTACTTGCGGTGGAAATGATGGTGGTGGTGCTCTTGTAGTAGGTGGTGGTGGAGGCCTCGAGGGAGGCGGTGCAGGCGGCAGAGTCAGTGGATTGCTTGGTGGCGGATAATTGTAGTTAGGGCGAGGGCTTGTAACTACTTGCGGTGGAAATGATGGCGGTGGTGCTCTTGTAGTAGGTGGCGGCGGAGGGGCTCTTGTAGTAAATGGTGGTGGAGGCGCTCTTGTAGTAGGTGGTGGTGGTGGCCTCGAGGGAGGCGGTGCAGGCGGCAGAGTCAGTGGATTGCTTGGTGGCGGATAATTGTAGTTAGGACGAGGGCTTGTAACTATTTGCGATGGAAACGACGGCGGTGGCGCTTTTGTAGTAGGTGGTGGTGGTGGTGGCCTCGAGGGTGGCGGTGCAGGCGGCAGAGTCAGTGGATTGCTTGGTGGCGGATAATTGTAGTTAGGTCGAGGGCTTGTAACTACTTGTGGTGGAAACGATGGCGGCGGAGCTCTTGTAGTGGGTGGTGGTGGAGGCCTCGAGGGTGGTGGTGCAGGTGGCAGAGTCAGTGGATTGCTTGGTGGCGGATAATTGTAGTTAGGTCGAGGGCTTGTAACTACTTGCGGTGGAAACGATGGCGGCGGAGCTCTTGTAGTGGGTGGTGGTGGAGGTCTCGAGGGAGGTGGTGCAGGCGGCAGAGTCAGTGGATTGCTTGGTGGCGGATAATTGTAGTTAGGTCGAGGGCTTGTAACTACTTGCGGTGGAAACGATGGCGGCGGAGCTCTTGTAGTGGGTGGTGGTGGAGGTCTCGAGGGAGGTGGTGCAGGCGGCAGAGTCAGTGGATTACTCGGCTTTGGATACTTATATTCAGGTACTGGTGTAATATCCGGCTGGCGAGGCCCAGTGACAGGGGGTGGTGTAGGCGGCGGTCTCGTTGAAATTACAAGAGGTGGAGGTGGCCTCGTGGGTAAAGTGAATACAGTCCCCGGTGTTTCATACTTATATGACGGAGTGCTACTCGGCGTAACGGGCCGTGGTGGTCCTGTTGTCACCTGTAGTTTAGGTGGCGTTGGAGGACTAGTTGAAGGTGATGGTTGCTCTCTGAGTAAAATCAAAATCAAAATCCATTAAGAATAATTCGCCTATTAACAAAATCAAATCTTCATCTACATACGCTGTATGTACTATACTTTCTTATTTCATCTCGATATACATACCGTGGTGGCAGTGTAAACTGCGTTGCCGGTTTCTCGTAAACATAACCCTGGAAAGGTTCTTGCGGTCTGGCATAAGTCGCAATTGCCCTCTCGCTCCTCTCGTGGCCATAACACGTGGAGAGCACCGCCACGAGTGTGGCGCCCCACACGAGTCTCCACTGCATCATACAAAATAGTACATTATGATACAAGTGCGGGAAGTTCTCGGGAAGAACGGAATATCGTGCGGGAATGTTACGCACATTCTGAACTCATCGATAATGGACCATTTTGTGCTTGTTTTTGGTGCACAAACTGTAAACTTTCCGTACAGTGTTGCAAAAATTATATTTCATAAATTTCCAAACATATTTATCATACTTGAGTTTTAATCGAAATGCATATTTCATAAAGGACATCCTTACATTAAAAGATATATATATTGCATATATTCATGTATCGTTCCGTGGGATAATCTCACGCCTCACCCAATGCCTTACATAACCCAAACAGACTTCACAGGGAGAGTAGGTATACGTACTGTTTCAAATGTAATGAATAATCGTGAAAGGTTTAAGCGGGCAAAAAATATAATGTTGCAGCTCGTTAAACGGCAGGCGCTAATACACCGCTACTTTGCGAAATGTAAACGTTATTAACAAAGACTAGAAAAATACGTGAAGAAAAACATATCTGCATACTTCAACGTTACTTTTACAGTCTATACCGTATGAGGAAATCTTAGATTCCTCTAAACGAGGAGTTAACGTCTTAGGATAAATGCTAATGCGCAGTGTTCAATTTTGCAATGAAATGATTATTAATAACTTCTAAGCTCTTGTCAATTTACAGTAATATAATAAAGGAAAGCTTCTGTCTGGGCGCAACGTTATTAGCACGAGTCGTGAATTAAACTCTCGTCCCGTTTACGACACAGCACGACATGATGGTTCTGGCTCGAAGTAACGTCCAGTGACCTTTAGCAGAATAATTTATATGGAGAATCGCCGCCATTGCTGGGAAAATAATACGCGCCAGTGTGTTTCTTGCTGTGAAAGGTTATGTCTTATGCGTATATATACGTAGTATATATATATATATACTAATCTTATTCGTACAACAGCTGCGCGATGCTTATCAGGCTGATGCAACTAACGATTGTTTCATTGAATATTGGATCCATAGTTTTTATAAGTAATTTTGACATCAATCAAACGTGATATATTTCGGCTTCGTTTACAATATTTTCATAATGCCCTTGTGACATACTAATGGAGCAATGCAATGCTTTCTCTTGATCTTTTTGCGGGAAATTTGAATGTCTACATTATATTTGTTTAATTAAATAAAGGCGATCTTATCATTTTATCAAATTGAAATATTCAATTCATTTTGGTTTACATGACTGAGATATTTAATCCCCGAATCGAACTGTTCCTTATATGGTGCTCATCCGGGATCAGTTCCAGATTCGAGATACTCATTTACATTTTACGTCATAAGAAGATGTCTTCTCAAAATGGGATCTTCAAGAACAGCTGTATCAAAATTGTTGTGCTTGCATTTTTGCTTATTGCTATTATTTTTTTTGTGACGAATTTCATGCGATTTTTTAAAAATCAATTTCATTTTTACGGCGTATAAGAAAACAAGAACAGTATAGGCTACTATGCAGCTGCACGTATACCTCTTGTATTTGCATCTTGGCAAGAGAAAGCGTGCTTATTGCGCATCGTGTAAGATCTTTGCTGTAAACCTGAATGTCGTATTCATAATGGTAATTGGCAAGTAATTGACACCGTAGAAGGTAATGAAACGAAATAAAAGTTGAATCTGACAATAAAAGTACAAGTGTATTTGTCAATGCTGGTGTCAACAAGAATAATTACACCTTAGATAAATTGAATAAAAAAATGTTTAATCACCCTAACAATGTATAAGAAAGTTTCGTACAAAGAAACAGAAAATCTTAGTTTGAAGCGATAATTAGAATTAATTTATTGATTTATTATATGACCTCCGGGAATAATGAAACTTGTTTTCGGCATTCGATACTTTTGGTGGCTATGCGTGATTCGGGCGGGGACGTTCTTGAAACGCGGATAGAATTCAATTACTTGGAGCTATTTAAATTTCGATTAAAGATTATTTTCAATGTTTTATTATATGGAGAAATAACTTTTTTTTTTAAAGGTTAGTAAAATCACATAACACCGATGCGCATCTACTTTACGCAAGAGACGACCAACCTCGTGCGTTTTAAGCATCGAATAATGAAATACCGCTATTTATCATCATTACGAAAGGACATGGGTCATCTCAGAATTTACTGTCCAATTTGTGCGCGGACCATGTTGTGCAATTGACCAGGTGCTACGTGGTGTAAGATTCAAGTGGAACATTGGGCCATTTCATTATCTTGAATTATGCACGATCGGTACCTTGAAAATTTGAACCGCGATGGCTGACACATTAGATTAGTACATAGGTATACGAATATTAGGGTCTTAGCAGATATGCACGTGGAATTCAATAATAAATAGTTATCGATACCCGTGCAAAAGAAATTAGTTTACTACAGATCTATGAACCATCTTGACTAAAAGTCTGTCGCTTGGGATTATAAATTTCTATGTAAACATTGAAATCGATTATAAAAATTTACTACAAGCCTAAATATTCTGATCAGGACCAACCGTTGCTCTAGGATATTTATCATAGATATCATAATTGTATATATTATTGATAATTGAAAAGTCTATATTTATGCCAGTGAGTATCTTAGCAATATAATTTTTTAAAAAGTAGCATGTAATAAAACTTGAGTAAATTGGTAGTATATTTTCATTATCAAATTTTATGTATATATATATATATACCAATCTATAAATCTTCCCAATTGGTGGACTTTTAATCGAGATGGTTTATGGATTTAACGTATAGATGAAATTTCTGTATACGGGTAATAAATATGCATTAGTTGGAATTTTGAAAATTTTTGTAATAATTTTTTATTTATCCAATCGAACGAAAATAATCGGTATCTATGTAATACGGAAGTATCGAAAAGATTTGAATGACGATTATTCCTAATTTCTTAAATTTCACGAGTTCCGCGATATTTTACTTAAATTCGAAATCCCAAGTACACATAATACATAATATGTACGTGTTTCGAATTTTTAATTGATTTACACCTAATTGTTAGACGGTTATGTCAGTGTTACGAACGTTTTGCGGTAAATTTGCGTATCCGGTTTATCAATGGAATACGGAATCACCTGGCTTAATTTGATTGCTAGTAGAGAAGTTGATTCGTGTGAAGATTTTTTTTCGTCGCTAGATAATATCGTAAGCCGAGAATTCAATTAACTTTTAGATACTACTACAAAGGTCGTGTGTTATTCTTTTTCTATTAAGAACATTCTTTTTTTTTGTTGTAAAGCCCTGTCAAGTATGTGTTATTTGTGAAATTTTGCGGTGTACCTTGTAGTCAAGGTTCGATGAATCGAATTCGATTTTGTGTAGTATAGAGCTAGTATAGAACTATGTTAATAAACAGCTGAAATCACTATAGCATAGGAATGACTCGATCTAACCGAAGAAATCGAAAGTTATTTGCTATTCCATTAGATGTTCTCTGGATGGTTGGTTGACAAATACAAATTTAAAGGCCCATATTTTCTAACCGGAGGACAACTTAATCTGACAGAGTGTGTAATTATAATTTATATTAATTAATTTATTACAGATCGCATACTGTTTTTCGAGCAAATAAATTTGATATAAAATAAAAATCTTTCAACAATTTTCAAGATTACGTAAATTCGATTGGATATTGTTTCGGTGACCTTTGATCGTAATTACAGTAAGTAACTATTCGATCGTATCGCGTGATAGAGCCAATCGGTACTTTGGCACCACAGACAGATTACTAACGACAGAATAATTAGTTTTCTGTAAGAAATTTCATGTAGTTTCGTTTTCCTGTTTTTTCTTCCTTTCTTGAAATGACGTAATTACTTCAGGTGAAAAAGAAAGTGGGTGGGCCAGAGGAATCGCCCGATCGTATCGTACTGAATCAATTCGTGATATTATGTAATACCACGGAATTCCGCGAAGGCCAATCAAAGTATTTCGTGAGCGGATCCGGTATCATTAATTCGTATAAGCGGAAAATGATAATCATTAATTAGTTTGTACATGATACAATACAACCTTTATCATGATACGAACCAATGTTAAAAATAGTAATACATCATTTTCGCTAAAAAAATTTGCAAACAATCAAATGGCCCAATGACAATGTTTAAATAATTAATCCAGCATCATCTGAATAAAAATCGACCGTATCAACGAATATATATATATATATATATTTGAAAACAAAAGAATTAATTTTTTCACACGTTCCAGATCGACAATTAATTCGAAAATAGTTCGTTAATGTTCCATTGTATTCCGAAATCTTTATCAAGGGCACACACACGCGTTATTCCGGACACACGCTACTTACCATTTTATGTGTTCGGCACTTTCGACTTATGTATATTATTTTTTCTTATCAGAAATAATAAGAAAAAAAAAGAACGTTATCCCTTAAAAACTAACACATTTCTCTCACGGGGATTCAGCGGTCCCGAGAGTCAACTTCTTCATTCCGCGACATCGTCTGGGCCATTTATAGGATTCACTCCGATAGTCCTGAGGTGGGGTTTACACACAAGGAGTGGGTTCTTCGTTGATGATGATGGTGATGGCGATGATGCCAGAGATCGCCATCAGCAAACGTGGTCCACACACGAGACATTCTTCCAACGGAAAGTTGTCATCGTGTGAGAGGATGCTGTAATCATTGGATGCCTGAAACAAGATGGAAATACGGTGAACAGAAATTAACGGTGAGAGTATATCCAGCATTAGATAAGAAGAAGGACGCTACCGCCATACGATGACTTGATGACTTGAGCAAAGGACCTACCACCTACGCCATATGTTATTTCTTGTGAACAGACAACTTTTCATTTACCGAATCTAATGATTTGTAGTCATCTGAAAATGCAATAAATAATTATTATTATATCATCCATTGACTGAATACTAATGACAGTGAATATCATTGGCGTATTTTTTTGGAAATTTTTTTAATACAAATTTATGATTTTGTACCATTCACTAATCATTTCACTTTTTTTTCATTTAGTAATTCCAACGTTCTGTCTATATAACTCTGCATTTTTTTTTCTATTTTATTCAGAATCATCAGCAGCAGCTTCTTGATCTCTGCGTGGGTCGATCATTACCTGTGCACAATATTTGCCATGTTATTATACACCTGTCTCTTAACCAGTAATATCCCTCTAAGAGATCCTAAGTTGTATGGGATCTACCTTTATTTCATTGATCGATGATAAGTTTGTCAAGAGTCCTGTTCTCTTAGATCTCTATTGCACAAATGCAGTGGGTAGGCATGCTATACGGACTTTATATTCTCCATTATAAAGGTTCTATTCATGGCTGTCATAACCTTCAATCGTAATATCATCAGGTTGAACATTCTTCCCGGCACTATAGTGGGTGAAACAGTTCTCATCCTGAGCTCAGGGTTAACTAGGTAGAGTGAACAGTGCAGAATCACAGTTAACCATTAACTAGATATGATATTGCTTCCTCATAAAAGGAGGATGTGACGACATGAATTGATTTTTTATTGGTTGCCTCATCGCGGATAAGACAAATCATACATGGAATGAGATTAGCTGGTAATAAGTATCTGTTATATGTGATCAACTGGAGATCATGATTAGTATGATTTTCTTAAATATTTTTTTCAGTTTTATTTTTCACTTTCATCCTGACTGTAATATCGGTCAGTGTTACAAAGTTATGTATACTTTATATCCAGAGTAATATTTCAGAATTAGTGATGTCATCTCGAGCTGTACACATATGTTTTTTTCCCCATATGATCTTTCGTGTGTCTTTATATGAAGAATCACCGTGCGTATTGAAGATGTCTAGAGACTTTGGATCTAGCAAATTTTCATCAAAGATTCTATAGGCGTGTAGAGACAGAATTTATGTGAGTCGAAGAGAGACAGACAGTGTAGAATCCTGTTCATGTTTAGATGTATTTTCATATCAAATGGGAATGTCTGATTAGGCAAGTTTTACATATTAGATTTTATGAATTACCCATATTAATTGTGAGCGCAAGATAGATGGATTTATGCTGATAGGATACAGAGAAAGAAACAAGGAGAGTAGCATTAAATATATAATTTTACTTTCAACATTATAAAATTGTTTATTACTCCAATCCACTTTTTTCTAATACCTTCCAATCGTTAGTTACTCAACGCATGTACTAAGATTGGTACTAATTTTTTATGACAATTAACTCCCATTAGTTTACTTTTTTCTTGCATCAATCACATTTCTCTTCCCCAACTATCGTTTCAGCAAACAAGGTTACAATTAGTCTCTAATATATCTTGTGCCTACTGTGCAACAGACATTTAGCATCCAAAGCAACTTTGGCTTTGTGCTAACAAAGTGAAAAACTGTGCTAATGCAAATCAACGTTTGCAAAATGAGCAACACGATATTCTTTGATTTCTATGAATCCGCCAAGTCCATCCGAAGTATACAAAAAATAAGTAAAATTTTTAATATCGTGCCCCTTGACATCGCAGGTACCAAGTTGACAATGATCACTTGAAAGAAACAAAAGATCAGTTGTTTTGACTCTGATCCATTGTTCATATCTTCCCTGTCCGTGGGAGATAATCAGCTGTATACGAATATACAAGAATAACAAAGAGAAAGATATAGGCGATGACATAAAATTTCGATGACAACATTCTCATACACTTGTAATTAATTCACAAAATATTTAAGAAGCATTGCCAATATATTATACATCAGTAAGTTTTATGACTTATTCTCTGATTACAAAAAAATATGTTGATTTATTATCGGAAATCCTCGAAAATTCTTACACAATTCTACACGAGGATCGTCAAGTGGTCGTGCAAGGACGACCTTGACGTAACGAGATGCGTGAGTAAGGAAGATGAAATTAGTTGGTTTTAACGGCCTCCTTCAAAATTTGACTCAAGGTGTCCGATTGCTGCCTGGTTCTTTTTTCTAAACAATTTTGCGCTTTAACGTAATAAACAAATTTCATCCTGCGAACGAATGGGTTAGATAAATGAACGAAGATCATTCCTACCGAATTATCGTGATAAGGTTAAACCTCCTACAGTCACATACATCGCAAGTATTGTCGCAATACTTGTGGGACTTGACCTGAAAAGTCCCAGTGGTCTCTGCACCTTTCGAGAGTCTGAACTCTTCTTCAACATTCCGTGGCACTGATGCCAACTTACAGGTACCATAATAATTTCAGACGAACGCTGCTCTAGCACGTGAGACTCGAATCGCAGATAACTCATCCGATAGCTTGAAACGTACAGGATTTACTGTTATGACGTTGATTACTTGAGGATGTATCTTATACTTAAGATACTAATCTTAACTCTTAAATTTGGAATTACTTTTTATGTTGCATTATTTATGTAAATATTTTTTTTGTGATAAGCAGCATAATATTGTGCAACACGATACTGCGTTTGCTATGGGACTTTATTTCGGGTATTTTATTGCATTATTAATTTATGAATTAAAAATTCATTGTAAACACATGATTGGTTTTTGCTTAAGGTTGTATTACTTAGTGACTGTTGAAGGCCAACTAGAGAAGAAGCAGTAGTTAAATGTATATAGTTTGCAAGATACTCGAAATATTAATAGAGGCTAGATAGGTTATATAGGAGCAGTTTCAAGATAAGGATATCAATGATAAACACAATAAATGGATATTGAGAAGTCGAATAAAATAAATAAACGGATACGTGCGAAGCTTATAATATTTTATTGGTCTTTCCTTTCTCTAGAATCCGCATTATAAAAAGTGGAGACAAAAACGAAAGGATCTTCTGGATGCTGTTCTTTTGAAAATGTCAGAGACAAGCTCACTTGGCATTGAACTATTGATTCAGGAACTTTTTTATATTGGACGTGTATGCAGCTGACTTGAATCAGCCAGGAACTGAATAACTTTCTGTATGTACTGTTATTCATTGATTAACCGACTATGCGAGTTTACGCAGCTACATTTTTTGTTGAAATTTATGTTTAAAAATAAACTTTCGATTTATTCAATGTACTCATGCCCAAGAATCAATTTATCATTTTCTTCCTTTAGAATGCATCTTAATGCCTGTACGTGCTAAATTCTTTGACCATTTACCATACGATGCGCTGTGACTTTATGTTGAGGATTTTTCTGTTTTTTTCTTCTTCTTTTTCTTTGGTGCTAAACATTGCCGTAACCAATAAACATCTCCTAATTATATGACCCCGACACATGGGCACGTTCCTACACATGTATGTACCAGTGAAAGTGATATGCTAAATGTTAGGCAGTTTACATACTACCGTTACGTCATACGATCGATCTTGGTATAAGTGCATATGCACATGCACTAGAAGTGCATTCATGGACGTAATACATGGTCTGTATAGTGAATGCACTTATGTAGAAATGCACAGAAGTTATGTCTTTAAAACTCCCTCGATTTTTCATGATTAATTCACATTTGTATAAGGCATTTTCTTAAATATTATTTATATTGATAACGTGACATATTTTTTGATATTTTCGATGCATCTTTATTTGAGTTTTTTTTTACGGTCAGATATCACACTGCGCTCTACAGGAATATCATTTGTGAACCGGTTTAAGATGATTTTCGTTATTATAAGAAATGTTGGCATCAATTTGTCTGTGTTTGCTAAGAAACTGTACTACAAATATTACTGGCCTTTTATTACACAAGGTCTTTTGAAAGATGCCGACTTTTTATAAAGGTATATAAATTCTGAAATTATATTCACGTTTAATTTTTCCGTCATGCCCAGATTGTTAATTAATGAATTTTTTGGAATTCCAGGTGAAATCAGTAATATTCATAAATTAAGTGAACAGTGGTGAGGTGAGGTAATTCTCAGAAGTAATGAAGCTCATGTTATTACTTATATGAAATTTCAGATTAAAAATTTGGCAGTTTACATTTTTCTTACAATATATTTAAAACGTATGTAACGTTTATCTGTCAATATATCTTGATCATTACTTGATGGCTTTTCATGTTTCGAGGTAAAACCGATAATTAACTAATTACGTTTACAGCCCTAAGATGACATAATTTCTACGAGTAATTAAAGATATCGTTACGTATGTGAAATTTGAAATTTCAAACGTTTTTGCATTATGTCAACAAATAATGTAAAACTTATATTGATTATAGTGCATAGGAAATAAAACGCTGAGACTAATTTATTAAAATTTATGAAAATCAAAATAATGTGAACAGTCTTCATAATATTTCACAAAAACCGAATAAGGGAAATTTTAATATATGTATTTACGTAGTTCGGGTAATAGAAGGTGCATTTATTATAATATATATTATAGTAAATTTATAATGGATCGATCTTAAGAATTATATTATTTTATAGTGGGTGGACGATTGACACTTTTCACTTTGAAAAATGATGGGAATTTTTTTTGTAATCATGGCTTCTTTCTTCATCCTTCTCACAAGTATCCACCGTAACCTAGTCCAAAACCGTGACCGTAGCCATACGATGGATAGCCTATTAATCAGAGACTAATAAACATCTGATTTTATGGTTTAATTAATACTATATTTGAAGTATCGTTTTAAAGGACTTACTGTATAAATTAGAATAGAGTCCGTGGCCATAACCATAGTTTGGATAACTATAACTCGAATAAGTAATCGGATAGGAGTAACCCAGTCTATAGCCATACCCTCCAGGACGTGCCATAGCAATAGCAACGATGGATGCCACGATCAGAATGGAAAGCTTATGCAAAATTAATTAATTTTTTCAAAATTAAATTTTCGGAAATCTGATTAGACTGACACAATTTATCCACGAGCAAAGTCTGTTTTACAGGGGCCATGATTAATTGAAATATAATATAAAAGAGTCCCCTAGATCTCAATCGTTTATTCGTGGATGAAAAATAATGTGACTTTATAATTCAAAATGTTATATTTCAAAATTACTTACAAGCTTTTTGCACCCCATGTTTCTCCTTCTTCCTACTATTTTTATTCTTGATGCAACGTTGTAGGTACTTATAACAATGTCCAGACTCTTTAGACAACCACTTCTTTTATATGCATCTTCGGTAACGAATCCCACCATTTTCCTCTTTTCCTCAACATTGTACAAGCATTTGTGTAAGTACGTGATAATAATAGCTTGCATTGTTAACGGTTACAGAATACCTTTACCTGAATTACCTATATTATGAATGGCATATCTCGAGATGGGCATTACGTACTTCCGAAGAAATACATACAATGAATACATTTAAGGCATCGACAACCGTAGAGAATACATACTGAACATTGTTACATGACAATTTAAACAAAAGATTTTCTATTATTAATTAGTAAAGTTGGGTTGACTATAATTAAACAAATGACAGATAATTATATTTTTGCAACGCTGTACGGAAAGTATACAGTTTGTGCACCAAAAAACAAGCACGAAATTTCGTGCTTCTTTTTGGTGCATATCCTGCGAACTTCCTGTACATTGTTGCAAAAAATAGTATACATATGACACGCGTGCGGGTTGGTGATTTCTACTCGTGTGACGTTTCCCACCCTCATACTTTTCACACCCTCACTTGTATCATAATGTACTATTTGCGTACAATTAACTAATGGCTCGACAGGTAATCAATAATTTTATAATAGTACTTTGCGATACAAGTGCGAGAAAGCGAACTTTATAGGCAGGCGGTGAACAAACTTCACAAACTGCGTATAATGTTCGCTTTATTGTACCAGTATCGCATAATATTTTCTGTAACGAATGCATGAAAAACGCTACTTTCTGTGCCTCCAAAGTGACTGGAACATCTCTTCGTTGGAGGAGGCAGCCATAAGAAGAGCAAGGAAGGTTCCAAAGTGAATGCATTTCATGACAGCGCGCGAGAACAAAGTTTACTTTATCGCACTAGTGCGATAATGTAAAATTGGGCCGATTTGCGCATGCGCAGCATTTTGATCGTATCCATAGATATAAAGCGCCACTTTCGCCACACTTCGGAGGCACGAAAAGTAGTGCTTTTCATGCATGAGTTACATAAAAAAAGAAACGTACTATTAATTAATGATTAACACAGTAACGTATTATTGTTGATAATAACATTAATTTCAATTACCAAACGCAAAATTTTATCACTCAATGAAAATTAGTATTCCTTGCTCAAAATGGCATTATAGGCAAAAAAGGTAGAAAGTTTGACAAACAGTTCATAAAACTGAACGACATAGAACAAGACGTTAACATCTGTATGTAATACTAAGAAAAAATAATTATGGCTTAGCTAATCGGCTCATCCTTGACAAACTATTTGATGTTCGTGTTGATATTTCATGGAGGTCATGATAAAAAAAGCCGTGTAACATTTAAGAATCTTATGTGTATTTACAATAAATAATAGTATTGTGCGGTAAGTGCAGGATATACCTAATTACAGGAATAACTCAATGGGTAAAATCAATGTCAAGCCCGTTTCTCATATACACGATAATTATATCTTTTATAACTAACTTACTGACATTTTATTATGATTGTGTTCTTATCGGATTTATGAAAATTTTATCATTGACTTCCGATCCAAGTGTGAGAACCAAGGAATACAATAAATTAAAAACGGTACTAATTAATTAATTAGTTTATTCGGTGTATACAGTGAATACCATTATTTTCGATATTAAATAATATAACCTAATTATATCATCTACATTGCATAATTGCGTGTGGTAATGCTAAAGTGTCGGAAACCACGTGGTCGAAATACATAATCAAAATTATCCCTCATAGCCGGGTAAAATAGTTTGACTTCATGATTCGAACTGGATTCCGGCGCAGGCATTGGTGGATCAGAATTATGTGAATTGGTACCAGATGAATTTGGAGGTGGAGATGGGGTTGGAGGTGGTGGTGGAGGCGGAGGCGGAGGAGGTGACGGATAATGATCATTCGGCGGTGGAGGTGGTGGGAAATGCACATTTGGAGGTGGACCTAGTGGAGGTGTTTGTGGTTGAAAATTATTGTAACCAGGATAAAAATCTCCGAAATTAGGTAAAGGTTTGAAGGCTTTTCTGAAATTATCGTTAAACAAATTATTGAAATTGTCTGATGGTTGGTAGTTATAATTAGACTGTGGATAATTCTTTTGGAACGATCCCAAGTAATTCGCAGACTGACCCGGGAAATAAGGTTGTTCTTGATAATTTGCGGGAGGATTATTTCCCGGCGATTGATTACGATAATAAGACTGCGGATGATTAGGCGCGAAGTAATTCCCAGGATCGACTGGATGCTGTCTAGTTAATATTTTCTGTCTGAATCTTTCAAAATCGATACTTGGAAATCGATCGCGTCTTGGCGGTCCCTCCAATAATTCCGGATTGGCAAATGCATTTGGTGGTAGCGGTCTCCGATGAGAATTTTTTTCAAAATTTTCAATCGCGCCATTTCCGTCATGATTTGAATTACCAAAATTGCCGCTTGCAGCATCCGCATTGGCAGCGGCGTTAGAATTGGCTACGGCATTAGCATTGCCAAGAGAATTTGAATTTGCACCAGAACTTGCAGCTACGTCAGAATTCGTGTTGACTTCAGAATTTGCATTGGCAACGGAACTTCCGGCGAACCCAGAATTAACACTGCCAGGATTATGCGAATTAATATTGTAATTTAAATTAGTATCGTAAGGCGGAGGACCATACGGGCCGTTTAGATCGGGTTGATTAAATGCATTATCATAATTCTTTGGTCGGAAATGAGGACTATAGTAATTCCCAGAATATTCCTTTGAATAAGGAGGATAAACGTAGTGATAACTACGCTCGTAATGATACGGTTGCACTTGATTGTTAAAATTGATGTCTCCTTGCTTCCTATTGTTCCCATCGGCGGTCGATGCACTTCCGGATGCTGCTGCATTTCCCAACGAATTTCCACTTTCAGATCCATGTCCGTCCTGTTCTCTGGGTGTAGTAAGTGCGATGTTTACTGCAGGTCTATTAGACTGAGCGCCTTGTAATTCCCCCACGAGCGTAGGTGACAGTACGGTCTCCACATTTTTGGTGACTTCAGCCAAGGATTCAGGATCTGCATGCAAAGAAAAAAAACGAAATAAAAAATTTCGAAAGATTTCAATCAAATAGACTTATTCTTGATATATAAACGTTCATTAATATATCTCGCATTACTTACCGACTCGCGGTTTCGCAGCTGACGCAACATTCCCAAGGCACGCCAACACGATGCAACACACGAAAATCTGTAAATTTCATCCACGCATATAAATAAGGACTTGCGCAATTGTGCGCGTAATGTAAAAAAAGTAAAATAGAATTTTTCGTATAACGATCTACTGGCGTAGCGTGACTCGCCGGTTTTCTTGTGATTCCGTCCCATGCATTTTATTAGATATTACGTAACGACTGCGGCAAACTCGTGTTCACTGACATTAGTTATATATGTACGTGTACGTAAAAAATCGCGAGATCAATGCACTTTGTCACGGGACAGGATACGATAACAACTTTTTAATGATATATATACACTGCACAAAGAAACTAGGAAACAAACTGCCCAGGATGGATGCAGAAATTATTGTGTATCGATATACTACCGATATACGTCATTAAGCTTCGGTACGATATTAAGTAAATACGTTATACTTGCATTATTACCAGAAAACAAAAAATGCACAATTTCCAAGAAAAAGTAAAACGCGACACTCTTTTCGTGGTAGAAAAATTATAATTCAATGCACTGTTCATAGCGCGATTTGTTTTTGTATTTTTCTCCTTTTTTTTTTTTTTCTCAAATATGGACGTGTCTGATCAAAGGATATTTTGACGCGATTTTTAAAACAGGTGATTAGATATTTACGTTGGATAATTAATGACACTATAAATGCGCTTTACTCACGTGCAGTGCGTGATGCATCGTGCATAGAACTCACGAAGACTAAAGGGCTTGCTCCCTCCTCTACGTCATATATACTCTCTCCTATTACACGAAATTTCATATGCTCTATTTGTCTCTTGGAAGTTGATGTTGAAAAATTGTACGCGTGCCAATGACTCTGTCTTGTACCTCCTTACGGGATTCACGGTTAGTTGCGCTGTCGTGGCAGGAACTGCGCGTTAAATGTTGCATCGTCTGACGAGATGCAAGAGTAGAAACAGGCTGCTGGTACCGCTATTCAATTATTAGGTCAATTAATTCTGTAGGTTTAACGTTTCACGCAATCATACTTATACATGGTTATTCGCGACAAACGGACACCCGAAGCTTGCCTGTCCACTTGATTCCTATGGTAGAACCATCAGGTGGTACACGTTTTTCGTGAATGACTCTATATAGGGATAACACTATTGTTACTCGTTTCTGACAGACTGCGTACGATGAAGAATTAAAGTAGAGGGCGTTCGATATAACTAAAATGAACGTAATTGATTTTTTGACAAATTTTTGTAATCGAGTTTTCAAAGAATGAATTTATAAATATCGATTAAAATATTCAACGTGATATCTGAACTTGCTGTGATAATAGGCTAAAAGCATATTTCCAGCCGTTGTCGGAGCATCGATGTAAACCGAGCGTTTCCTTCGTTCGTATTTCCTGAGCGACAATGAGTGGCTATTTTGTAATCTGATTTATTATTCATTCAATTTGCACTGAAATGAACCCATAGAGTTATTACAGATAGAGCAGACAAGCCATAGCCTGCTCTGCAAGTGGAAGTGTCCGTTCGCTCATAATGAGAAAGAAAGAGATAGCTGAAACCCTTTAGCTATCCGTCTTTGCACCCTGATTTGCATCTATCTCTCTCTTCGCCGCTGCCGCGTTGAGAGCAAGTGGAAGTGTCCGTTCGCTCATAATGAGAGCGTTTCCTTCGTTCGTATTTCCTGAGCGACAATGAGTGGCTATTTTGTAATCTGATTTATTATTCATTCAATTTGCACTGAAATGAACCCATAGAGTTATTACAGATAGAGCAGACAAGCCATAGCCTGCTCTGCAAGTGGAAGTGTCCGTTCGCTCATAATGAGAAAGAAAGAGATAGCTGAAACCCTTTAGCTATCCGTCTTTGCACCCTGATTTGCATCTATCTCTCTCTTCGCCGCTGCCGCGTTGAGAGCTGGCTTGTTTGCTCTATCTGTATTAACTCTATGGATGAACCACGACTCCAGAAATTCGAAAATAGATAATTACATTTAACAAAGTGAAGGAGCCTTCGTATCGCGAAACAATGCAATTCGAAAAGAAGAAATATTTCTCGTACGTTTAGTCACTCATCCTGTATATACAGGGTGAAGCATTTAAATCAAGACTGTCAAATAACTTAAGAACAAGGTCTTATATGAAAAAATGTTTAAGACAAAAGTTATATGGGTTTAAGGAGGTAATATAATGGCCTACTTTTATTGAAACCCTTCATCGATAAAATTAAAGTAGGCCGTTCTATTGCTCCCTTAAACCCATATAACTTTTCTTTTAAACTTTTTTTCATATAAGACCTTGTTCTTAAGTTATTTGTCAGTCTCGACTTAAATGCCTCACTCTGTATATTGTATCGGTTTGGATTTTTTATTTTTCCATAATTATTAGCCAACATTACTTTACGCGTAATATTTCCATTTCTATAATTAGTTATTTCAATAAAAATCCCACGCAGATCTTTTATTAATGTGATTTGCATAAACTCAACTCGCCAGGATTATAATCTTTGTCAATAATTATTCCAGTAGCTCATAGCATTGCACCTTTTGCATCATAATGCCTTACTGACGCATTACGTATTTATCCGATACGAGTTGCACAGAAGTAACATTTCTTTTGTATAAAAATTCAAGACCCAATTCTCTTACTCGTTAACCCTTTAAATAATTTAATTCAATAAAAGTACCATGCTAGTTTATAAATGTCAAAATTTAACTGCAATCAATTATCCGTATATAATTGATTAATCTCGTTATGCAGTATCTTTATCAAATTTCCTCACAAAAAAACCATATAGATGTCTCATGCTTCTCCCTATCACATCTTCACATTGCTTACAGTGAAATTCACTATTCTAATTCTCTCGTTCTTATTCTACTAAAGCAAAACGAGACAACAATTTCCCTACGTTGTATACGAACATATTATCCCGTGCTAGATTCCCCCAAGGATCATTAACCGATTTTAATTATGTCACTTGTCAACGTCGTGCATGAGTAATGCGTGACTATGTCAATTGTACGACCTTCATGCTTCCGCTGGCACAGGAACTTTGCCTGGGAGCGAAGTAACGTAGTCACGTAGAATAAAACGAAAGACGAGAGAGGAAAATAACAGAATTCTAAGACGGCGTCAGAAAGTAGCGATTGAATAAGTCTAAGAAAAAAAATGATAATAAAATTTAATAAAAGACACAAAGGAAGTGTATTATAATATATATTGTTCTTGTGTATATACATTTTTTTTATATACTTTACGTACTACGATATTTTTGTTATATAAATAAGTATTTTTATCACGTAACCTTTAAATTTCTAATATCCAATCTCACTGATGGTACCGATTACTCCTGGCGCTATTACACTTGCATGATTGTAAATCTGCACGGGACCACGTTCTCTGGCGACCAATCCAGCTGCCCTGACGTTGGGAGTAATTACTATTTTCTGTGCATTTGGTACGATTACTTTAGACTGATAAGTAACTGGTTGACCCCTTGCGTTCCTTACAAATTTAGCGACCATGCCGGTTACGCTACCATAGGGGATTCCACCTGAAGATGATACAAATTAAAAATGCTATAAATACCTAAATTGCACTATATCGTTATATGGTAACACTATTATATTAATATAATCACGCAAAGTGACATCGAATATAGTAAGTATGGATAAATATACGAAAGTGAAAGGAAGCATATAAGTAATATCATATGTAGACATGTGCCGAACTCTATTGGCGACTCTTAACAGGTCGTTAACCAAATAATATATCCAATGAAGAACTCTGTGGATTACTTTTGAAATGTATTAATTATCATTACAGTTCCATAGTCGGTTAATAATTCTCTATGGGAGCTTGATATGCGATTAGTTATTTTATTTATCATATGTGAGAATGTGTTATGTGCTTTTAATACGTACCGTATGCCAGACCGTTGGTCATCTCTACTATGCCAGCACTGTCTGGGGTGGCTGATGTAAACTTTACTACAGCAGCGATGCCGACTAGGGCAAAAATCTATAAAATTAAAAGATCTAAGTTTTTTAATGATCTAAATTGATTAAAAATGTAGACTAAATTTTCTAATGATGTTGATCTAATAATCGTAGAATAAAATTTAATTGGAGGTTCAAATATAATTATAAAGTCTTTCATTCTATTTATTTGTTTGAATTCAGCTATGCATTCAGAGAATATAATACTTGTCGATTCTGTTCTTATTAAATTGGAACGATGAGTAAACGTATTTTAATATACAAATATGTAATGATGACTTTTGAAAAAAAACATTGACAATCTCTTAATGTATCTCACTCAATTTTTTAGTCATAAAATTTTGAAAATTTGGTTAATACCTAAATATTACCATATGAGGTATATCAGTATACAGAGTTATTCGATAGTACCGTACCAATTGAAATTAGCTTCAATAATTGATTTTTATAATAAAACCAGCTTCAGCTGATGTAATACTTTTGAACAGTCATCTACAATAGAAATCAATAAAAAAATGAAAAATGACAATTTCAATACAGTTAATAAATTAATTTTCTGATTTTTCTTCTCTTATCATGTTAAGCTTCATACGAATCTCAAAATATTAAAAGTCAATGGTTCAATGTGCGTGCAGAGCATATCAATATTTAATAGCGATAAGAAGTATTGATTAAATTGTCAATAAATTTTACCTTTGGCGAGATCATATTGTCACCTGTGTTAATGTCGCACTACTAGAAGAACCAGTAAAACCAGAACGTACTGCAAATGATCGAATTATATAGACAGTGTGGTATTACCATTAGCCAATCAAAAGATAGTATTTCTCCATGGAGAGTAAACCTTATTCATACCCGTTTGAATTTTATCTTTATATACTAGACATATACCAGTAGAGTCCTAGACATATTAACCTTGGAGTACGTGTAACACCTCTCACGACTTCTTTCTTTGTATCTAAGACTATCAGCTATATAACACCAAGGTTCCCTTCTGTTCTTTCGACGCAAGTTTCTCTTTGTCTTTTTTATATTCTGAGAATCGGCTGAAAGTTCGTTAAAGGTACAACATCATCCGGCCAAGATTTTTGTGAACCAAGTTAAAGAAGATAAGAACACTTAATGGGTTATTTTTGTGGGAAAAAAATTATTAAGGATTTTGTGTATCGTTAAACTGTTAATGTATAGATCTAATGAACTGTCGTGTTAGGCATTTTAAAAGAAGATACGACCTATTCAATACTCGTTGTCCTTCTTTGATGCCTTGGCCCTTCCTTACCTATTGCACAAGGCTTAATCGATAGATCAATCAATAAATTATAATGGGCAGATTCTCATGGATTTTCTGCTGGCATTATTGTACAAATTTATTTCAAAGAATCTGACGAGGATTTTAAGATCGCGGAAGTTATGTATGAGGAAACGTGTGGATGTGTGTAGGTACTAAACAAGAAAAATGGCGGACATGCAGATACGTGTATTCTTCTCTATTATAATTTAGTTCAAGGATATCAGGTCGGAACATTGACTCTACGAATCCAGATACTAGTTCAAGGTAGATATTTCATGATATTTCGATTATTATTGTTGAACAATTACTTCACGTTTTTTTTACATTCATTCGTTATCGATAACACTTTCCTTATCGGTTAACGAAATTCGCGTCTCCTGCAATAATTTATGTATTGTTAATTGCACAACAGGGAATTGCAAATAGTCCACCAGGTCGACTGCATTGTACATTTTGAAAGGTAATTTCTGATTTACTTGGAAACGGATATTAAAGGAGAGTTTACATTTTAAAAAAAGGAGAAATAAATAAATAAAAAATCTGAAGACCTGTCGCCGTCTGACTGCAAATCCTTAATCGAACGTAACGATTGCGAATCATTGTGGAGTAACGAAATTTCTACGAGTGATCTATAGATCATTCGTAATACTACAGACAGAGAGAGAGAGAGAGAGAGAGAGAGAGAGAGAGAGAGAGAGAGAGGACACAGTAATATCGATTGATAGAAAGTGATAAAAAAATATGTTCATGACATTCGTTGATAAATAATATAATTACTTGGTTTTTTATTCACACGAAAAACATAATCTTAAAAATTTTCTCTCGTGCGTTAATGATTTAGAAAATTGTATGACAATGACAATGACAAAATTTCACTGAGACGACGATCCATGCCGACCAAGTATAATGATCTTTTCAAGATCATGGAAAGCGATTATTATTTTTCTTCAATCCATTATACCTGTTTGTCCTAAACGTAACGTTTGGGATAATAAAAAGAGGAGATTGTCACGAAGTCACCGCTTTCCCCTTGTATAAAATAAAATAACAGTGACAACTGAATCAGACGCCCCGCAATCATATACCGTGAAAATGTTTTCTCATCCCATAGAAAATTTCTCCCGGTTGCACTTTCATCTGTCCAATTTATCCTGGGCAGTTTCGCGTTACCCGTTTATCATTGGTTTCGCCTTAATTCATTACGGAAGATTAGACTTGGTTATGATTTTTTGCTAAGAAAAAAAAATTGTATTCCAATTAATCGTTGTGCAATAGAAGAGTAATAAAATTATAATCCTAGTAAACCATCTGTACTAATTAAATTAGTACGTAATTAAATCGTTTATTATAATCGAATGGAATTAGTAGGGTGACTGAAAATATATGTTTAACGTAACTTTTATTTAATGGTAACAAACGAGAAAGAAAACAATAATGAATAAAACTAAAGCAATGTCAACATATGTACTACGGTTCTATGTACAGCATTATAAATAGTGGTAAGGACAATAAGGGGTGAATTCGTTGAATAAGAGAAATCTTTAATTTCTTGTCAAACCGTGATATATATCTCGCTCGAATTGATCGTGACAACAAGTGCCGTGGGAAAGAGAAAGAGAAGCGATAAAAAAGAGAGTTTGAAAGAGAGCAAAAGAGACTGGGTCTTTGTTGTGAATATTTTTGCAAAGTGACGATTTTCGCAGCTGTGCAACAATGCAAAACCTGGTGCCTGGCCAGATTTGGCACGGTTGATCGTTCTATGTAATAAACGAATAGAAATTTGCCAGTTCTTGGTACAAGGATACGAATAATGGACTGAGGATATTTTCGCAATGCAGAGATTACTTAACGCTTAAGATTACTAATATTCGAGCGAGATCGTCGTCATGTCTATTCGATATTAGGAAGACTATGTATTTTGATCTGTATCTTTATACAAGATCATTTATTAGCGATCCACGTAATAGTAAAGTCTATCGTATGGATTCTTGATATAATTAATCTTGGTATTTTCGTTATCCGATTCGGTTGATTCTTCCCCGGATTCATCTTCAGTCTCCTCTTCGATATCATCGTCGTTGGACTGATCTTCCGGATCACTCCTGGGATCTTCTTGCGAATTTGGAATCCTTTTTGGCAGTGGATTCTCAAGAAGGTACCTCTGAAATTATTTGATTTTCGTATTACGAACTTTTTGTTATTCCATTTTATTTATACAGGATCCTTCTGCTCTTCGTACAACGCGATACGTATTAACCGAATCCAGCCAAGGGATCATTATGGATATAATTATTTTTTACGATGCTTTGTTGGGAAGAGAAGAAAAATCGTGAGGGGCATTTAATAATCGTAATTTTCGGAAAACCACGTAACTGTTGATATCATCTGTCTCGAGCCGTGTTCAGTCAGCTTGATATTTCCGATTATTGGAAAACTTACGTCTGATTTTGGGATATCCTCATCCTGATATGAATTCTCCTCGGCCATCTCGAAATCCTTGAGAGATTCCATCGTTCTCTCTAGTTCCTCCATTTCTATTTCTCGTATACCGTCATCCATGGATTCGGCATTCATCTTATGGTCATTTGGTTTTATGGACACGAACATTCCCTTGTGACCATCCTTATCTATTTCCTTTGTCTGATACACGTGTTCCGGTGTTTCCTTTGTTATTATGGAGACTTTTTGGATACTTTCATTTTTATATGGCATTTTTGGATTTTTTATCACCTTACTCTTAAGGACCTTCTTGTATTTTGGCTTTGTCGATTTACTACTTTCTTCAGGCTTTATTGTATCGCTGATACCCATTTCAGAATCTTTTTCTATTTCGGAGATTTCGGATATTTCTTCGGGATAAAACGTTTTCGTTATGATCTCTTCCTTGGAGACTCGCGAATGATGCTCGATCGTTCTCGTTTTGGGTGTCGAATTTTCTGTATTTATTGGAGTCGTAGTACTTTTTCTTATTTCCACAGCATTTTTTATTTCTTTTTCTGTCAAATCCATTGCTTTTGCAGCATCGCTTTTCTTTAATGAATCTTTCGACATTTTTCCTGATCTTACATCAGATTTGGCTGCTGTAGATACTACTGGTCGGACCCGTCTTCTGATATTAAATTTTGGTCGAACGTTTTCTTTGACTTCGTTCTTTTTGCTCTCTTTACCTGGTTCAGACACTTTTTTGTAATTTCTCACATTTCCACGTCTACGATTTTTCACTATGTCTATTTTTGTAGCAGTGCTTGATTTTTTTTCTGGCTTTACTATACTGATACTAGCAATAGTAGTAGCAGGTGTAGTAGTAGTAGGAGCAGGTGTAGTAGTAGTAGTAGTACTAGTAGTGGTAGTAGGTTTTGTACGAGGAGCACTGGTAGTAGTAGTAGTACTAGTAGTGGTAGTAGGTCTTGTACGAGGAGCACTGGTAGTAGTACTTGTAGTAGTAGCAGTATTAGTATCCAGCTTAGTAGCTTGTTTATTATAAGTTTTAATAGGACGAGATTTCCTTCCTGAAGGTTTTACCACACGAGCTTTGATATTCTTGTTGTTGACTTTATCGGACCGTGCTTTATCTTTTGTCACTATTTTGTTACTTGCGTTTCTACTCTGATTTCTTCGTGGGTTATTCGATAAGTTTGTACTTGTACTCCTGGTTATCGTTCTGCTCATACTCTTGGATGACGTAACTCCTGATATATTTCTATTAACAGACGACGTAGTCATGTCTTCCGGTACTGTCTTACTATTAGAAATAGTTTTCTCTATGGAAATGGAAGTTGAAGTCGATAATTCCGGCGTAACACTGCCCGTCTCAATACCATCCGAAGGATTGGTAGAATTTTTTTTACCTTTGTTAGACAAGTCGACAATGAAATCTTTCATGAGAATCTCTTCGATCGGTATTCTAAATTTGTTTGAACTATATCTACTACTGAATTTCGTAACGGGTCGATATTTCGAGTTTACTTTGTCATTGTCATTATGAAAGGAATTTTTTGGGGGAATTTTCTCCTTCTTCAAAAATAGTTCCGAAGGTAAGATAAAGTGTTCCCTATTGTTCGTAGGTGCTACCCTCGCGTCACTGTCGAAACTATCCCAAAATTTGTCATCTGACATTTCTCTATTTATTGACGGCACGTCGTATTTTTCCCATGGGTAGACGTATCGTCGAATGTGCATTGAACTCGAGGATACTTTCTCGTGGTCGCTGTCCTCGTCATCCTCATCCTCATCCTCGTCGTCATCATCGTCATCGTCATCTTCATATCTAAGTTTTCTACGTCGCTTGCGTCTCTCTCTACGTTCTCGTTCTAAGCGTTCTCTTCTTTCCCAAGGATACTCGTATCTGCTACTGGAGCTTTCACGGTATTTTGGATAGAACTTTGGGTCAGGTTCATACCTTTCCCACGGATACTTATATCTTTTCTTACTCTCAGTTTCCTCGGATTTATCCGCCCCCTCGAAATCATCATCCTCGCTGCTACTCGTGTAGCTCATCTTCGAAGGTTTATCGTAATGGGAAATAACAAAGCTCGGATGATGAAAAGGCGGCTTGTGAATCCGGGGTCCTAAGTTTGAATATTTTCCATCGTCAAATATTTCCGACGGCGAATTGGGACGAGAAGAATTTTCTTCGAAGAACTTCAGTTTTTTCTCTTCACCAAATTTATCATCATCGTTCACGAAAGAAGGATTACTCTCTGGGTCATATGACTTGGAGGATTTCCCTTCGTCCTCGTCCGAGGATGATTCGTCCTTGTAGGCTTCTTTGGGATTTTTATCTTCATCACTGCCTTCACCTTCCTCCTTGTTTCCATCTGATTCTTGTACTTCGGAATTGTTCTCTTCGTTCTTAGACGCGGAATCTTCTTCGGCTTCCTCTGAGAACGCTTCAGCGTATCCTGGAGGATCTGACAGGAGCAAAGCTTTCAATTCCGAGTACTCGGGACTCTTTACGATCTCGGCTATATCCGGCGCTGGACTTTCATCAACGTCCTCGTGGACCTTGTACTTCTTTACTCTTTCCTTAGGGGGCATGTCTTCTTCCTCCGCTGATTTGGACAAATCACCAAGAGCATTTGGATCATCAAGAGTCACCTTTTTTTTACGTTTTGTGGAATATTCGATTACAGCCGTTTCTGGAGAATTATTCTCTTCACTTGTTACAGTAGTCGATTCCGTTACACTTTCAACTGTTGTTGTTTCTGTGACAGGTATTACGGTAGTCTCGTTATCGACAGATTCCGTAGTGACGGTGACAGGTACTTCAGTAGTTGTTGATCGATTATTAGCGATTTTTCTTCTTCTTATTGACGTGTATCGCGGTTCGTTTCTTACCGTCGTATCGTTCTCCTTAGGTTGCGTTAGAAATTTACCATGTTTCTCAGTGTCATTTGTACTTTTCAAATTTCGTCTTCTGTCCCTTATAGTGTAGACTGGCCTTTGCGAAGGTTCGGTTACTCCTTGAGAAGTTGTTGATGCAGTCTGTGGTGTAGCAAGATTAGGCCGTGTAACTGGTCTACGTCGTCTTCGAGGTGGTTTTACGGTAGTTGAAGAAGAGTCGGTGTCAGCTTCTCTAGAAATTCTTCTGCTCTCTTGTGCAACTACATCCACATTCGAATCTAGCTCGTCAACACTTCTTTTGTGCACTTTGACGGTTTTGTAATAACCTACTACCTGTTTATTACCCAAACCCAAAGGACTCTCGGTTCTTGCGCGTGTGTTGTAGGGTACCTTGCTTGATAGGTGTGGTAATATTTTTGATGATCTTTCTGGAGGCGGAAGTAATCCTTGTATATGTTCGGTTGGAGGTGTTCTTGTAATGTGCAATAATGGAATTCCAGTGTTTCTGTTTCTCAATGATTCAGTTACGTAATTCAGTGGTCGTTCATCGCCGATGCTCGTTACTTTGGCAAAATTTTGCTGCATCGAGGAACTTGCGGTTTTAGGTATCGTAACCGGTTCACGAAATTTTTTGTAAAGATTTGCCTGACTTTTTATCGTTCCCATTACGTCCTCGTATACTTCTTTTTGGTACGGAGTCACTGGATTGATTAATGGAACTTCCGTTGTTGTGAGAATTGGCCTTCTTACTTGATGGTTACGATTTTTTGGACCAATTCTGTTTAAATTGCTCATGGGTACACGTTGCTTACTCTGGTGTGAGCTATTTATGTTTTTTGTTTTTTCAGGATTTTTTGAATAATTCACACGGACAGTTTCGTGTATTTCGTATTGCCTCACCCTGGGTCTTCGATTCAGTCTTTTTCTTCGTATCTTTCGCACTTCCGGTTTCTTCGACAATTTCTGATGTATGTACTCGTCGTTCTCTCGTGGCAATTCCGTAATTCTTTCGGCAAAGTGCACAGGGTTCAGTTCTGCTGGTGGTGTTGGTTGCGCAATTTGCTTTTCAAAAAATATTGGACTATCCAGAGGATTCTCATCGAAATACTTCGCTTTGAAGCAGTCTAATTTATCACCCAATCCACGTAGTCTAGGTAGATCCTCTTTTGGTCCTCTATTTGGTACAGGTTCCTCATCGTCCGGAACGACCTCTTTTAAACTTGGATCTACGTCATCACATTCCATGTATCTGTCCCTAGAACGATAAAATTCCATTCCACCCAATGTCTTCCTAGGGACATTCTCAGGATCCAATATGTACTTCAGTGGAGTTCCCGAAGACATCTTATCATTCCTGTAAAAGGGATATTTTCGAAAATCAACACTTGCCTCTGTTGTGCTTGTTATGTCAATTTTATTTGCATCCTCGATTTCTTGCACGTAATCAAGTTCAGGTACTTCAACCTCGACCTTTCCATCATCATCATCATCATCATCCTCATCTTCATCAGCATCACGGTCATTGTCCTTCTCAGTTTCCTCCTCTTTGCTGTTGAATCTAGATTTAATTTCTTTGTCTATCGTGTCCGCAGCTACCTTAGGTGCCTCATTGAGCAAATCCTCGCTGCTTCTTCTATTCCTTTCTCTGAGCATCGCAGTATTGTTTTTTAAAAATTTTTCTCCCACCGATAAATTCACTGCAGCAGGTATAACGGCCTCGGTGATCGATACAGATTCCTCCGGTAATAGATTTCTCTTGAATCTCAATATCTTTTTAGAAGCAAGATCATTATTATCGTTGAAAAGTTTGAATCGTCTCTGAATACCATAAGCAATAACCCTATCAGCTATTTTCGCTTCATTAACTGAAAACGAACGTTTCCTCCTCAAAAAACTAGCAGCTCGGACTTGCGGTAAAATTGGTAAATTTGGTAAATATTTTTCTTTTAATCTTTCACGATATTCTGTATAATGATCTTTACTATCGGTTGAGGGTGGTACTAATCTCAATACGGGCACTGATTTAATTTCATACTGCCCACTGACAATCCTCTCATCGTTATTACCGAGCGGCGACGAAAATTTAAGAAATCTGGAATTCCGCGAAGGAGACCTTTCTCGTTGCTCCTTTCTTCGACTCGTTTCGCTTTCCTTCTTCGCGCTCGAACGACTCGCGACATTGGCTCTCGAATCGGCCGCAAAATCGGAATACGTGACCTCTCCCGAAGCCAAAGGCGGCTTCATTATAGTGAAATCTCCTTCTCCATCCTTGTCTTCTCTTTTATAATCCTCTTCTTTTTGCCTTCTCAGTAAATTCCCAGTCGACTGTAAAACACCACGTTTCTTTATAGACGATTCGTTATCGTCTCTCAAATTTTTCTCTCGCCTCAAGTAATTTAACATCCTCGCATAATTGTCATTCGGACGAAACCGGAAGACCCCATTATTATGAGTCTTCGTATCCGTTCGTCTTTGACTCAGTGACGTCACCGGGTGCAGTGCAACGTTTTCACTGACAACGGTCGCGTATCCCGCACGTGCTTCATGATTCTTCAATGGATTTTCTTCTTGACGTGCAAAAAGACTTGGGGTGCTGGCCGATGGATAGGGAGCTGCACTGACAATAGATGGATAGGAAGACGCACCTACGTATGTCGTAGGAATTGGATGGGATGTTTTTTCGGGTGCATTATTTTGATGCCAAGATTCGTACACTGACTGGTGAATTAGAGTCGGATCGAATGTTCCATAATTCTCAGCTGGTACGTTCGCTAGATGAACAGGCCATTGTTGACCATTTTGTTGTATTTGCACAGTCTGTGATGGATTTGTGGTGTATGGTATTTCCGTTATGGGATTTGACACTAAAGTGGTTTTATCGGTTACCAATAAATACGGACCGTGACCATTTATGGTAGCTACCACAACTGGTGTCTGATGCTCCAATTGCGGTTCTATGGTTGTGACTTCTTGTATAGCCAATGGTATAGTACTTTGTTCTTGTATATGAATATTTGCTGGTGTCGTTACACGCTTTTCTGTTCTCAGGACGTCCCAGAATTCTCGATTATAATCAATTGTTGTTTGAGGTACATCGTATAACGGTTGACTAGTCACTGGACTGTAGTAACTACTTTCACTGATCGACGAAGGTTCTTCGTTTGGATTTTGAGAAATTTTCGTGTCCTCGTATCTCTCCGTATTAACGGGCGTTGTAGATTCGTATTTCTCTAGGTATAGTTGTTTCCTTCGTTTCGGGATTTTAGACGATTTCTTTCCGTTCTCTATTGGATTTCTCGAATCATCCTTCCTCCCGTACTTTCTTATTTTCTTAACAACGCGTGGCTTATCGGTGCTGTCGTAATCGTAATCCTTGTTTTTTTGTGCAAATTCATAATTTTCAGAACCCTTCTCCGCTTCTTCATCCTCCCTCCTCAAATCATCCTCCAATCTCTCTATTCCATTTTCAGCCACAAATTTTGGATCTATCTCTTTCCTTTGCCAATCCTTGAGAATTCTTTTTGCACCCTTAGTACCCTTCCCCTTATTCAATTTATTATTTTCTCTGATCTCTTCAAGATGCTCGCTATAGTCGTCATCGTAATCGTCATCCGATTCTTTGTTCTTGCGATTTCTAGATTTTTTATTCTTGCTTCCCTTACTTCCGGTCTCGCTATTCGTATCCAACTCGTTGTCAAGCTTCTTCGCGTACCCCTCATGGAAATCAGCATCGCGCACGTGTCCGGCATGATCGTAAGCCGAATCCTCGTAACCCTCTTCGGTGTACACAGTGTTCACTTTCGAATTGGTAACGACAGCACGTAATCTTAATGCATTTTCTTTCTCGTCCTCCGTCGTAGCAGCCTTAACGGCATCTTCTTGCGGCAATCTTTTAACCGTATGCGTTCCACGCACCTGAGCATACAATTTGGTCGGTACAAAGTCTAAAGGGATGTTTTTCTCAGGTGGTGGTTTGGCCCACTCACCAGGACTCGTATATTTTGGCCTTGTCGGAACTTCTTTCAGAATCTCATACTCAGCCACTGGTATCACGTGATCCGGCGGACCTTCCGGATCCTCGTCCTCGTCTTCGTGACTCTGAGAATTTTCTGCAGGAAATTCCGTATATCCTCCATACGGATCGGTATATCGGTTAACCCCTATGGACGCCGATCCCTTTATCGGATCTTCGTAGTTTCTTATTTCAGTCGCTGTACCGGATGCTGGGCTACTGCTGCCAGTCACTGTATCACCGAAAGTGTACACAGAGTCTTGTAACAATACAACGAGTAAAAATGATTGGAGCAATCCGTTTCGTGACATTTTTTTTTACACCGATCACTAAATCATTACTGCATTTAAATATTCAGTACACCTTGAGTCACTGACAGTACGTTAATTGGTTTTTTTTTCTTTGATCACTATGTTATTCACATGTTCGAGCAATTAATTTTTTCAGTCAATTCTTCTTTCACGTTTGTCAAAATCCTTGAACTAATTTAATGGCAAACCGATTGCATTCCTTCATTATGACACTTTTAAACGATCGACTGCAACAGACTGACTCGCGCCGCGATTTGTCTACTCTTATTTATATTTCATCGTGGTTCGAAAGGTGGAGGCGGGTGGAAAAGTAAAAAACATGATACTTAGGTAAAATACTATCTCGAGTCTATTGCGTTCCAATCCAGTACCGACCAATAGGAATGGACAATAGTCTCCCCACCGTCCTTATAGCGACATCACGACTAGCGTATGTAACGGTTTGCCACACTATCAGAAATTTATTGTACTAGATTTTATTGTCTTGCACAATTATTCATATCGATGGGTATGTATATATTTATTTTCTAATTTACTATGGTTCTCTATTATTTTTATCAGGGAAATTATATGAATTATTATTATTACTCGTGGGAACATCGGATTCGATTCGTTTCGTTTTGTCGAACGTTCCGTAATGGCGAACTAAACTGCTCGCGGTGGAAGAAAGTCGAGCAGCTTGTAGGATACGCTTGGTGGACTCTAATGCGGAAAGATCAGTTGATGACTGTTGTATGCGACGGAATGATCATTTTGAGTAATTGTGCGAAATCGAAGTAATGTCGTTTATGGTCGATTAAATTGACGGAAATGCTTATTCGTTTAATTTTGAAAATTATGTATAATTATGATATTGTAGCTCCGTCGATTAATGTAATTGGAAATCCCATGAAACAATACTGAAGGGATGATGTTCTCCTTCTGGTGAAAGAATATTTTGCACGTTTACGCAAAAGCCATCAAGCCTTTTATTTATGACAAATTAGATAGATACACTTTTCAAAATTACATAAATAATAGATCAATTCGTTTTAATTCTAGGGGATAATGAGTCATCTTTTATAAATGAATGTGACAAGTGATTATAAAATTTATGGAATTTATGAATTGATTGCATCTGCCCGTTTTTTTATCTTTTTTTATAAGTGTCACTTTACACAATTTAATTACTATTGTTGAATTCAATTGAGACCTTAGGAATAGGATGCTTCCACGAGCAACAAGGTCCAATTTCAGGTACTTTTTAAAGTATCGACGTGCTTTTCATCGTCATGAAGATACCATGGGTTTCCAGGAATTCGAATTCGACTGCATAGCCGCTGGTTGAGTTACCAATTGCGGTTGGGGTGATTGGAGCATCGACGCTTCCGGTTTAAAGAAATCAATTATTGGATGATAATTATAATTAATTCTTCTATGAGGTTCGTGATATTCGTCGTCAGCTGCGCCACTGTGTAGTATCGTAGGTGCATTAATTTCTTCGTCAAACTGTTCACTAAATCTGTCAAAACTTCAAAAGATATACAAAGTCAATTAAAGAAAATAAATAATTAAATATTAATAATACTCTGATCTTTATCACAAGTACCAAACACGCACCTGTTATCGCTTGTAGTATTTCTGCCGGCTGAATAATCCAAATGTGATCCAGATTCTCGTCTAAAGGGTCCACTGGGTCTGGGTCTATTGACCTTAAGCAAAGGTCCCATGTACCCTGGTGCTCTGGTATTAGGAGCATGCTGTTGAGGAAGCTTGTCAAAAGGTCTTGAAGGTAAAGAAGGTTGTTTCTTCGGCCTGACCCGTCCTGGAATTCCAAAACTCGGTCGACTCGTGACAGACAAATCAAACAGCGGCTTTTTGTTGTCTTGATAGGTCGGTAAGTCAGTCAAATCATTCAGATAGGATGAAGGTCCGTCATTAAGTATACCCGAATTGGTATCATAACTCGATGGCTTGTTATGTTTTTTTATGAAATTCGAGGTTTTACCAAAGTCTACGAATTCATCGTTTTGATCCTCCGTCGCGAATTCCGCACCCGGAAATGACTCTTTCGACTTAGGTGGTGGATCCTTCTGATGTGGCGGGAAGAGTTCAGAGTATCCGTGCACGTGACAACTGCAGCACGTGGGTACCTTGAATATATCCATATGCAATCCCAAGGTAGTGTCCCAGGTCAGGAGTCTATGATAGTTATAAACTTGCACGCAGGACGAGCGATAGTTTTCTGATATGAAGGAACAGCTTCTGTGGGGATTTCTGCAAAGTGGCAAAATTTCACAGCGGTTTTTTTTTTCGTATCAACAGACAATGCCACAGGATACATAATCGCTCGTGCAAAGAGGAACGGTCTTATGCAACTGAATCTCGTTCAATTAGATTTTACAATGATCATCAGGTCGTGCGTGGCGATCCGTGAATTTAAAATAAACATTTCTCTACATTTGAAATTTTCTCTACAATTGTCTTACAAACATCCATTGACGAAAAGAAGATTTAACTGTGCATAATGCTCAATGGGATGCTGACAAAATAATTTTGTTGGTTCTCATTGTCCTTGTTTTTCTTCTTGGAATGCCAATCAAAAGTTTCTTAATTAACAGCGAGCAGCGCAGGTATATCGGCCAGAAAAATACTTGAAGGAATGACTTTTATTTTCGGCATTTGCCCCGCGCCTGTTTTTTTGTCTTGATTATTTACGCTCACTGTTAGCTCGGAACAGAAAGGATTGTGAGTTTTTTCTCTCTATTTTTTCTTTCTTGTTCTACATAGCTATAGATATAAAGCATTGAATAGATAAATCGAGCAAAGTTTCATTTTCTAATGAACCAACGTTACAGTTAGGGCAAACAGCATGCGTCCCCCTACAATGGCGAGAAAAGTGGACGCTTATTTTTCTGACCACTTTCTTTTGTCATCTTACACGTAAACAAATTCTTTTAGAAATTGCCTTGGAATTTTACCGTCCTGTCGGTAACTCCGATAGCTGCTCACGTCGGTAAAGAAATTTCGTATTACGGATCCACGATACAGAAAGTAATTTCGCAACGGAGAAGAATACCGAAAGGGAAATCGAGACGATTCGATTAAGCATTGTCTTTGACCCGTGTAAAAAATGTTATTAAATAATTGATTAACGAACGATAACAAGTGCCGCTTAGGAAGACTAGTTAATCTTATTACTCAAAAATATATTTCAATTTCGTTCTTACGAGCATTTCTCAAGTCGTAAGGTCTGTGTGTGTTCCCCGGTATTGATGATGTATTTCCAGACACCGGATGCAGCTCTAGCCAATTGAGGACGTGCGTATCTGACCTGAGAAGGACACGTGAACCCTTCCTCGACGTTGTCAAAGGGTGAATGATCGGCTCTTCTGCACATATATAAATCAAAAGTAAATTTTTTAAATTGCGACACAGTTACCGCTCTTTCGCGATGATCTGTTCCGTAACGAAGTATTAGCTAATAATTAGTCTCACGATTTCGGGAAATTTTTTCGGGCGCTTTTGTTCTCCGTCGAACGAAACTCAAACAACGACTAAAAAGGAGTAGTAGGCAATGATTGTTAAATGATGATTGCATCAGTGATATTTTTTCGAAAGCCTCTGCCATATAATCGAATAAGACGTAGCAGCATTAAAATCATCGAGATGACTCAAAAATATAGCCGTACTGAGATGCTTTCGTGTTTTTACGTTCGAGCAGGAATATTGCCTCAAGCCACTTAAAAGTGTCGCACCAGTGGCAGGCCAATTTAAATTTCTACAGTAGCGTAGAAAGTGCCTTTAGTCTATTTATTAATCTTTATTACGTTCGCGACGACGTAATAGGACATTATTGCTTATTCGAAGGCTATTCGATGACAGATCATTGAATACCTATACCTATAGAGCTGAGGTCTAATTTCCATTTGCCGGTAACACTTTTATCAATCAGTTTTTACATATTATGTAAAACTCCATTACGTTACGAGATACCTGAGTTATTTGGTCACCTTTTTATCTCGTTACTCTCAAATCTGTTGTTGTCATATCTCGTGCGCAATGGTAAAGCTTCCGGTAAGTCGGTCTCGAAGCCCCCGCTGTCCTGAACTTTATAATCGGTCAGTAGTGCCGCCACCATATCTCTGTTGCTTCTAATACTTCTCGTAATTGCGTCACTGCGAACGAAGGACGATTAAATGATTTCACTTAATATTTAACATTCGTTGCGATTACATACTGTGGATAATCCATGGCTTCTAGGCAGACGGTATTGGTGAAGAATGTACATTCCTTGTCGGTTGGTCCTCTTTTGGTATCGGTTGGTCTTCTGGATGATGATGGTCTTAGGTTAGTTGCGGATGGTCGAGAACCTTCTGACGGAGAATTAGTATCATTTTTTGGTCGCATTTAAAATTTTTTAGAATCATTTTGTAACTTTTAATCGGTAATTATCTGGAACGACGTGCACTCGTGCTTCACGGGAGAAGTATTACACTCTGTTGATTGATTGTCAACTTTTACCTGGATGGACATTTCTTCGGTTTAACGAAGATGGACGACGGGGTGGTGGTGGTCTGTAGTACGGTCGTCTTCTACTTCCTGGTCGTCTATAACGTAATTCTTGAGCCTAGATAAGCAAACAATCGGACGTCAACAGATACGAAATGTAATACGTACTAATTATAATTACCGATAAATATTTGATGAATTTTGTAAAATTAGGTGTACAGAAAGAATGAAGAGTAAACTAAAAGCCATTATGTAATTTATGATTATATGTATCCATGAAATTTTTAATAGTTGTAAATGCAACGGTCAAAGTCATCAATTCATTTGGTTTATTGGTACTACCATTTTTATCGACCGATGGTATGAGTTTATGTACTAAAATATTTACTTATATCTACATAACGATCGTAGATACTAACTAAATTGGATGATATGTCGCTGGTTTAGGAGAAAATGAAAGGAGAATGTTGATCTAGTTTCCAGCCTATAAAAAAGACGAGTATTTTACGTAGAAACTAATAGCGGTATTGTAAAGAATTTAAGCAAAAAAAAAGGGAAACTGAATAATACAGTGGAGACATCTGCCGATAAGCGTAAAGTTACTAAGATTCACTTGGATATGTCGATATGAGTAAATTGTCAAGTTACCGACTTAACCGACTTACAAAAGCTGTCGCCATCTATCGTCTTATTCATTATGTACCACCCAGAAACAAACTCGTGTTCAAAAGTAGTTACATTTTTATGTAGTCCACTCATTATATTGTGCAACTGTACGTTACCGTTAAGTGGCATTACATGCAACCGTATGTAAACAGTATACTTCATAGGTATTACTAGAAAATCCACGACTAAAATCAGTATAAAAAGCATGAAACATTGCAATGCGTACCTGACAAGAAGTGAGTCAACGATAATACCATTTTTAAGCTACTGACTGATGGTCCTAAAGTCTTACTATTCATCGGACCATACATTTAAATTCATTAATTCAAAGTAATCGCAATATAAATACTCTAGCCAGTGAAAAGTATGAGGATCTTAATATTCCTGGACACGCGTGTATGCCTCTTTGCCTAGGAGCAGGCGTAATCATAGTCAGTCTACAAGAAAATTTTTTTTGGACAGTTTAATAGTAATGAAATCTCTAACAAGCCGCACGACGTTCTGCTTAAAAATAAATTTTTGAAAATATGCATAAACTTACACTGAAATATACATTTTTTTTTCAAGCATAAGTTTCAGTGATTTCATGTAAAGCGTGGGATTGCTAACGATTATCTGTATTCTTAACAATCTAAATATTGAAAATATTCATACGGTAAGATTTACCTGTATAACTATAAAATACATATATGAATCAATATTATCTCATGAGAAATAATTATTAAATTTGTTTATAATTTTACATTATCATAAACGTAATACACGTGGCAGTAATTCCTATGCCTGTACTACTTGCGAGACTCGATCGAGTCTCTTGATGAATAATTGGTATATTTTTCTTTCAACCAGTTTATAACGTGCAGGTAAAAATCGAAAACTATGAATGAAAAGTAAGTTTAAACGGGTCTATTTTGCTAATTTATTCAGCTACGAATTGCTTCTGACGTTATTAAACGCACGTTATATTAAAATATTCGTAGCGATAAAATGAGGATAAATTCAGGTGCAGGTTATATCGTGATTCGTAATCTTTGCATGCAACACGAAGATATTTACCGTGTCGAGAAAAATGCATAAAAATGAAAACTTTCTACCGATCTAAAAGGAAACAGTGGCCTTAAGAGGTACGGCACGATTAAATAAATTACAATGATCATAATTGAACGAAAGAGAGCAACAAATTTATAACAGAAAATAAAATAAATACCTCAGGCAATTCTTCGGGTGTGTCTTCGGTTAATATTTTTGCAATGTCCACACTAATTGGCAACATCAGATCTCTCGTAGCATTTTCACGACTTTCCTCCGAAAACATTGATTGTATCTCCTCGAGTGGCGCTGGCGACGCTGTTTCATTTTTCGAAATTCTTGATGATATCAATGTGCCCATCACGAGTTTTTGCGGTGGCGACATGCTTCGCATGATGGGTACCACTTCGCCAATTTGTTCCCGCTTTTCCGGCCATTTCAGTGCCTATTTTATTGATATTGATCGATGACAAAATTAATGATCGATAATAGACTAATGAATCAATTAATTATTTCACTTTTACTTACATTGGTGATGGTTTTTTGAATTTTTTCCGTTTTATTACGTATACTGCCATCGTCCAGTTTGAGAGACGTTGCAATCTTGCCCTTGTCATTGTCATCGAAATCTATGTCATCCAAATTTTCCTGTGCGGCGACGTAAGTCAACAGTGCCAGCTAAAAGTAAAATTGTTACAGCAGGCAGTAAAAAAGAAAACCCTATGAAATTCTGGGAAATCAGACTGAAATATTCTTAAAGGCGGTTTACGATTGTTTTATGTGAATATTTATATACCAGCTGAAAGGAGTTTTAGTACTTGTATACTATAAAACTAGTATTATATATATATATATATATATATATACGCGTTAGCTTTTCATTGGGTCCAAGATATCTCTACGCTATTTACACGTCTATCAAAAGGAAATCTTGGGCTTTATATTCAGATTTCTATAGCAGTGATAGATATTTGCGACATCTGTCGACCTACTAACCGACATATGTATAGATTTCACTGAAACAAATTCATCAGAATGACATTAGGGAAATTTTCCAATTTACATCTAAAGTTTCAGGTGAATATGCCAACAGTTGAAAAAAATTTTACTTTTCATCGAATGAAATTTACATTAACAAAATAATATAACATAATCACCCTTATTTTATACATTCTAATGAATCTTGGCAAATAAATATATACCTAGTAAGGCGAAATATAAATACTTACGAAAATGATAAAATACAATTTGCACGATATCCTCATCTCGCAGAAATCACAATACTAAAAAATCTCTTAATAAACAAGAAAGATTGAAATTAATTTAAAAATATTCATAAACTCCGTGGATTAAGAAAAAAAAATCACAAAAAAGAAAAAATAAATTTTCACACAAAATTCACTCCGGCCATAAAGCAGAAATGTATCTATTAAATAAATAAATTCACAATATAATAATTATAAACAAGTCACAGAACTGAAGTGTCGTGCAAGGAAGCGCGCGAGCCTGAAAATGATGTTCCAGTACCCGTAGCGGAGTACCAGGCTTCTCTTATTAGTTTACTACAGGTGCGTTGGGTAGGTTGGTGTTTTTGTAGGTCAAAAATCTTCCGCCACACTCGCCTGCCCCTCCGACGATCGCGGAGTAAGAAGAAAAGTATCTATAGGTATATCTGCGCCTGCGCGTGCACTCTATATACATTTTATATACAATCGGAAGAGAAGAATAAAGGAAGGAAGAGAGACGCAGAGAGTACAGAATTACGGAGGGACGTGAAAGAGTGCGAGGGGGGAGGGGAGAGAGATAGAGAGAGAGAGAGAAAAAGTTAGAGAAAAAAGAAACGAGGAAGGAGTCTGGAGAAATGCAGCGTCCATTCCAGATTCTCTCTCAGTCGTTTAAGCGAGATGGAGAGATCATGAAGATCGGGCACACCGTGTATAACGGAGAGATAAAGATAGGAAGCGAATGTAGATAAAGGAAGGTAGTTCGTGTTCTCTCGTAGCCATGACCGAGAAACCGGGCGTTGTTACTAACGATAAGCAGACTTCACGAATGCCAAAGAAGTCGGCCAACATTATACGATGACGATAATGACGAGAGCAAGGATTCTATTCTGAATAACGTTTGAATCTGTATGTTGTATTATGAGACAAAAATGCACTTATTTTCTTTATCGTATTACTTTTGTACATTGTTGTTAAAATAATTGCAGACTAGTCTTTATATATATGCGTGTATGTATAGATATATGACGTTGAACTACCTTACTCTCCCTTTTGTGTATCATGGAAAGCTAGAAAATTTATAAGGTACTGCATTCCGTCTTCATTCTGGAATTACCTTCGTACTTATCTTGGCTATCCTGCCGTGCTGCTTCTTTGAGACTCGTTTTCAATTGAAAAATCCTAAGGGACAAGCACGTACCTGCTAGCAGGTTAGTTCGCGGGACGCTATATTAGACTTTTCTTATTTTTCCTTCGTACCAACTGTGTAAAAAGAACTGGCTCGAGTCTAGTTCACGTTAGTCCCTTCCACGAAGTATAATATCGTCGAGCAGATCTTTGCACGCATTCATTGCCAAGGCTGCCAACGTAAGAAATCTAGATGACCCTGGACTTGCAATTACTCGAGTCATCCTCGTCCTCATCAAGCAGGTACCTGTCGTTGGCACCTTAGCATAATTGTCAGAAGAAATTTATAATCATCCGATAGAACAAACCTGTCTTATAAATTTCTACAAATATTTTGTAACGTGCAAACTTAAAGTAAAGAAGTTAAAAAGAGTTTGGACGTTGAAAATTGATCACGGAGATAATCAAACCTTGGAAATTCTTCGTGGCGCCAACTATGTGGGAGAAGTAGGTACTACGTACCTTTTCTAACACGACAGATGTTTGACGTTTAGACGCGGAGGGTGAAAGCGGAGAAATAACGCAACTCTCTTGATTTCTGTGTTTCTCTTTGCAAGATACCTATAGTTATGGTCCAGACATACATATATCTCTATCAGTAGACAAATTTACGTAGAGGCAGTGAAATTTTCGTATCTTTTATGATTACAACGTTTCTTTGGACTAATGTTTTTACTTGGCTTTACGTAGCTGGAACGAAGGAAGATAGAAATAACCTTTTTCTGTCTTCTAAATGCGTGGTCATCTATGGACCACCTACAGTCGTCAATGTAAACGATCCTAGGATATAGACAGGTATGCGAAATTGATATACAGTTATTTATGTATGTGGATATATATATGATATGTACTAGGACCATATGAAAGCCATACGAAAGGATAACTGAGCCTTTAAAGGGGAATAAAGCAAGTAGTTATTGCGTTACTTGACAGTTATATGGTCCCTCGCCTTCTGACAATGTTCCATGTTGTACCTAGTACACGTTCCGACTAGCAGGTACAAGTACAAGTACAAGCAGAGATACAAGTGGCGAAGCAAGAAGGGAGACACGGGCAGTGTGTCTTAAGTAGATAAGATCATGGGGTATGTTGATTTTACACTTTCATTGTCAACTTTAATTTAGTCGCGCTAGCTGATTTCGTAATTTATAAAACATAATGAATTTCCCCGTTACCTTTAAATCTAGACTGTCTACCGCTTCATTCTTCTAGGTTATTATCTCTCTTGACTGTCACAAAGAACCACATTTCAGAGTCAAGTTTTAATTAATTTCTGGAAAAAATTGCGCTTTGTTCTCTCAAATTGTATTAATTATGTTGTTTAAGCGTTGCTGGTGTGATTTTTTCATGGTTCACGACACGCTATTATTATTTTTGCATAATGGACCTGGCCCAATTTATACCGTATAGACAGGAAGTGTAAAATTCAGTGTCACTCGTTTCAAGAACGACAAATTATGTTGGTCAATCTGAAAGTTTTGAACCTGACATATATAGCTTGCACCGTATTGCGTAATACATAGTCAAGGTTCAAAAATTTCAGAGTTACCTACAATTGTACATTATATATGCACAATGCTATCTGAATGGGTTTGTTCAAGATACTTTTAAGCTGCTAGGCTTTAGAAATGCACCTTGATATCAGGAAAGCCACAAGATTCCGTACGAGGCCCAGTTAATGAGATATTATAGAAGCGTAGGAAAGTGAATGAAGAGATACAACCCGAGCGAAAGTCGTCGGCGTAGTTCTGTTCCCATTTCTGAATGTCCTGTAAGATTTTTTACCTAAGGACACCATTTTTTTAGAAACCAATCATATTCCTGTTCCACTAAAGTTAAACCCTTGGCTCACGATTTAATTTCCAACAGCGCGCGCCAACTCAACATTTCGGTCAGCCGTTCGTCGAACCATTCACGATTCGGCTGAGCTTTCGAAATATCGGCGAAAATTATCTGCAAAACTGCCCCGTTTTGTTTACTGCTGTCCCACGACCAGCACGCGCCTAACTCGTGGTTATCGTTTTTCGCCCAATCGCCCTACCACGAGCGTGGCTCGATATTGTAAGCGAAGAGGTTAATGAATTCGCCAGCATAGTGTAAAGCTCCATATAAATCATTTTGAATGTAGCAATGAAACTTTCACGCAGAAGTTATTACAATGTATTCTTCTTTCGATGCTGTGTCGTTCCTCTTGCAACTATTTTTTTCTGTAATTTTTGTTTTGACAAGCAATTGTAGTGAATATATTTGATGATGAAATTGCCAAGGTGGGATATCGAAGAGAAAGAAGAATTCGACGAACGAAATGTTTAGAAAGTTTTAGAAAGATGAGGGGTTCAAATAGGCATTTATTGATGATGAACAATTGCGGGTTTGAAGAGTGTGATGGCGTACCGTTAGTGGCATTAATAAATATTTTACCTTTTTTCTAGGCTTTTTCGATTCACAGTCGTGGAGAATAAAGAATTCCAAAGTACCGGTTCATTATCTCTTATATGAGGATGAACAAAGCTCTGGGATGATTTCACGATGAATTGTGTGTGTGTGTATACACATTGTGAATTGTGACTACTGCCTGTCCAACTTCCAAGAGAGCAGCCGCTGCACACTTCTTGCGCCATTAATTTATTTTCACCGTAAATAACGGCCACCCTGCTGCAGGGACATAATACTTAATGTTGCTTATAAGTATTATACCATGACAATTTTGCTACTTTGTTGTAAGTGAGTTTCCGCCCTTGAAATTGCTACTCAAATTCATTTCTATGTTTCATTGTACATCTATGGTTTTGTGAGTCGACAGTGATATTCATAGGTACGGTATACGTCATTGGGTCATGTATATGGTATTATGTTGACATACTTATGAGACTATCATAATCGCTATTATCCATTAATTCTGGTAGGTTCATTACCATATGGTGAGTTTCTATTTATCTTCAAAGCGAAAGCATTTCATCCTGGAATTACAGGGAGATAGATGAACAAAATGAGCTAATTCACAAGTTAACGGATTTTACCAATGATAATGTTTATTTTCTTCTCTAGTTAATAGGATGAATGAAGTCCAATGCTTAATAGTGAAAAGGCAAATCACACAGATGCACAAGGAATGTGGCTTTTTTCCTATGTATAATTAAGAGAGTATCGACAGCAATAAGACAGTTTATAATTGAGATAGTAGCGAATGAGGTTCGCTGGATGGTTTAGTAAATAGTAAATTATGTAACTAGTGCGTGAAGTGAACTTGTTTTCATTTCTATGTCGCCGGCGGAGCCAGCGTCGAGTCTTGTCGCGATCACGCCAGTGAAAAACAGTCACGCACGAGTTGCATACGCCATTTTTTGCACGGCCGTGAATAAAGTTCATGTGTAAAGTTCGATTGTCAGTGCGTAAAGTGTAATTTTCACATTAAACAAAGCATGAAAAAAAGTACAGTTTACACACCGAAAATTGAACTTTACAAAATTTCCTTTAAGCTTAATTCGAGATTGCACTACGTTTTAATTACAGTTATTGTTAGTTCACTGCAGGTAATTATTAAACTTAGAAAATTATCCTTGCCAAATATATATCTATATACATAGGTTGCATATGCAGAGCAAGGATTCTTTTGAATAGTCTTTTATATCTTGTGAATCATTGTGAATATGTCCTAATGCTAGTTAGACTGATTAAAAAGGATAGTCAGTGATTATGATTTTAATTAATTTAATTAAAATATACCAGTTGGCCTACGTACCAATTGAGCATGTATACTATGGTGAAAATGAAGTTCTTGAAAAACTTAATTCATGATAATTTTTTTGTTACCCATAGAATTATATATGTATTATAAAGTGCGAATCATAAAGAATATTGTGAAAATGATTTGTGGATAGTTACCTTATTTGTTAGTCTATTTGAGTACGTAAAGGGTAATAGGTAAATAAATGAGTAGTCAAATAAAAATACAATAACATTTACTGACAAAAAATGGTTAGGATGGGGGATAAAGAGATTCCGTAATAAAGTATTAATTGGAGTCTAAGTACAGTTTCGTGTAATATCTGTATAACTGTATATTTTTTCATAAATTTTTCATATGCGAAATAATGCGGTTATACAAAATGGACGATACAGGCCGCTATATTTCTATATATTTCTTTGTTTATGTTTTTTTTTTCTTCGCGTAACGCTTCTTTACGCAATGCCTATGCAATGTTATAATTATTGCATATTACACAGACGTCGCTCGTCGAGATACGTACGTGGCTTAGAATGACGTTTTGCGATTACGCACTTACAATCGCACGGACTTAATAAAATAATATAAATTGACAGACGTGGGGCTACAACCGGCTTTAATCCGTAAGAATAAAACTTCGTCAAATTTCATGAAATCACCTATGCTACATCATAAAATGAATAACTTTATTTCCTTATATTATACGTCTACACACGCGTATCGTATATAGTATATCACAATGGTGAGCCAATTTTCCGTGCGTCTATTACACGCACTTGCGTACGCGCACGCATCCGCGAGTACTTTCCGATTTAATTTAAAATTCGTGGGATTTCGTGATTTGATGTGAACCAATCGCCGCCCCAAACATGTCGAAAGACTAGAATGATTAAGATTAATTAAAAAAAAAAGCAGTACGATCTGTACCAGATATGACAATAATAATAATATATATATAAAAAAAAAATAATAAAACGCTACAAATGATACAAGTACTAAAGGTTCTAAAACACAAGGACGATTATGTCTGATAAGTATTACCATGTAAAAAAAAATTGGGCGAGGAGAGCGTAATGCGAGTTTATATATTTTTTTGTGCTTTTGATTGGCGGCGATATTATAATATAGATTCGTATAGGGACTTTTCGCAAAGTTTACATATTATTATTTACAGGCGCTTCGCGACTCTATTCGAGAGGACCAGTACACGTGTGCGCAAAACTAAATGGCGTCTATATCACCAGGAAATGCTACTTATAATAATACTAATGAAAATACTTTGTAGAGATTCGCGACACGTGGTTGGCGCCACCGTATTTACCGAAGAAAAAGAAGAATTAACTGTTAATACATATTTCCATTAGGAAATACGTATCCACCATTTTCAGTGGAAGTACTTTCATTTTCCGAAGGGTTTGCTCTTGTCTTTCTTCTTCTCTCTTTTCTTTCAATCGTGCTTCGCTGTCGGCACTGGTTACAAGTATTGAGAGGAAGCACCTTCTGACGAAGATGTCGTTTGCGCATGCGCGCATCGATACTCTCACGCGAATCTCACTTCCTCATTCTATTTTGTGCATTTTATCAAATGTCTTCGTCCTGAAAATCCAATCCCTTCTCCTCAGTGCCTGCATTGTGAAAGAATCCACGTTTGTATTTATCTTCATGATTACTTTCTACAGATCAAAGGCGTTCAGTCGGTACACTCCGAGGCAAAACTCTCGAGATCTACGTAATGTCCGTTCATATTGTCTTCGAGAAGTTGGGCGAGGTCTCGTCTGAGCGTTTGGAACTCCGGACGTCGATCAGGATCAGCTTGCCAACACCTGGAGATCACCCTGAAGAGTTCGCTTCTGCAATGAGACGGTCTCTCGAGTCTGTATCCATTTTGAACGTTCCTCATGACTTCCCTCGCAGTCATATCCGGATAGGGTGTAGATCCTGATAAAATATTATAATATAAAAAAAGTTTCACACAAAAAAATAAATTTTTAATTACAACTGTACATTTGATAGCATTTGAAGAATTAATTCAATGTAAAAGTTATGTTTACCGAGCGTCACGATTTCCCACATTAGGATCCCAAAGGACCAGACGTCGGTTTTTGTTGTGAATAGAGAATATATGAGTGACTCCGGCGCCATCCATCGTATCGGCAAAGCATTTCTGCCATGTCTGGCTTCGATGACCTCGCCGTCCTCGTTTGCGAACCTTGACATTCCAAAATCGGCAATCTTGCAGAGCTTGTTATGATCCACTAGAACGTTTCTGGCTGCAAGATCTCTATGAATTATCTGAAATGGTAAAAAAGTAGACAATGAAGAATTAACATTGTATTATGTATTTTTCACACTGTCGATGCTTTGTAATTAAAAGATTATTTCGTGGCCCATACCAGGTGAAATCTAGTAAGGTTATTTTTCGTGAAAGACAGAGAAAAATATCCACGTACGCGTATCCTCATAATAACTTGTCGATATCAATATCCCAATGTAGTCAGCATCGTGCCAAGGTAAGCTGGATTTTCGTAAAGAGTGACTTCATCGTCTCGTGTTATTTACTGTCTGTTTCATCTACCGATTTGCACTGTCTTACAAGAGTTGAGATCCACACGTGCAGTAAGTTCATGTGCACTGAGAAGGTGCATGGTCCATGGTTTAACATCTTTGTATTCTAAGTGTACTTGACCAAGTCGTACAAAAGTTCAATCCTCGGAGTTTGAGCAAGTTTGAAAAACTGGTTTAGGCACATCCCAACACTTTCGGTTCTATGCCAAGGCGTATGGGTATCAGATACGATCGAAAGGGCCCGACCGAGTGCACGGGGCCCTTTTTTAATTGAATCGATAGCAAAACCCACGCTTCGTTGCATCGAACGAGTCGTTAAAAAAGTACAAAAGTACGAAATAAGGGAGAAAATAAAAAAAAAGTGTACTACTTCGAGCGACCTACGTCTTTTGAGATTTTCGATCGTCTCCATCATGATATACGTCAACTGACTCGCAAACTGTGAATAATTGCCATCTGTTACTTTTTCACGTGTGCAACGACGATAGTGCATAATAACACGACAGTCAAGACGTAACAGCCACGATCCACGTGGGTGTAGGCATATAGGACTGACGTACGTCCACGGATATTAACTATGCAAAAGTGGCTCCAAGTGTTTTTCTAATACCTCTTTTTATACTTTCTTGACAGTTCATCTTGTTTTGCATTTATTTATTCTTAGTCTTAATACTGAGAATAACTATCACTGTGCACGTGTCTAATGTGCAACGTAGGAAGAAACGTGTCAGATCCACAAATAAAATTTTTCGAATCATTAGATTTTGCAACTTTTACATATTACCCACGAGAGTGAGTGAGAGAGCAAATTGTGGAATTACATGTGAGAGAATGAGACAGAGATAGATAGGCTTCACAAGATTGGCTGCCGATTCATAATGAAATAAATTACTACATCCAGCAACACGGAGTTAAATAGCGTCTTTTACTCTTATACATTGATATTAACAAATAAATTTTTGCTCTGGCTTCCAAAGTATTTACAAATATCACGTTGCGTTCTTTGGTTTTTATTTTGACACATCTTTCATTTTCTTCCGAATATAGGCATTATCGATATTTTTATCACAGCGACGAATCAGTGTCACTTAATTTATACTTATCAAAGCACGGCACTGTATCATCCTCTTATGATAAGGACTCATATTCATTATTTTTTTTATATATATATTTTGAAAATATAGTTTTGTCAATTTCTTTTTAAATCTACCCTCTATAAGTGGTATCGTGAATATCAGTAATTCATTCTCCTTTGCTCGATCGATTTTCTGTATATCGTTCAGAGCCAGTTGTCCAGAAGGGACCGTGGCTGCAGACCCTTCGCAATCAAGCAAGCAGGGCCCTCGATGAAAGGCCCCTTTCGAAAGAACGGCTAATAAAAATAAAGGCGGCCACTAAGAACAAAGAGAAAAAGAAAGAAAGCTCGACGAAACTCGATATATACTCGTGGCATTCATTTTTATCCGTTAAGTGGGGAGGTTACACTGACCCAGTAAACCAGTGTACGAGTATACATACGTGATATATCGAAGTGCCAATATATAAATACAAATAAAGATCTTCCCTATAGCTATATCGTTACGCCATATATATAGATGTCTAATTATCACGAATTCATCTTACCTTTTTCGAAGACAGATATTCCATGCCACGTGCTACGCAATATCCAAAAACCGTAAGATCCCTGGAGGTCAGTGCTGCAGAGTCTTCGCTAAAATTATAAAAATCCTGACGCGTACGATGATCCCTCAGATAAGCCAGAAGTTTTCCGTACATCACGTATTCCAAGATAAGATAATGGGGTTCTGGAACAAAATAACATAATATTGGATTGACAATATATTTTTGACAATTTTTTATGAATTATTACAAGAATTATGAATCTTCCTTTGAATATATTCAACGAGACGGAAGACAGCCCAGAGTCATTGGTTCCCCGTGCGAGGTCACTTAATAAATTAGTCGTCGTTATGGTACAAGTGGTTTTTTGAATTTATTTAAAAAATGCATAAGCTTCACGGAAACGAATAAAAGAAAAGGAACGACGAGAACGGATTAAGTAAAAGAAGTGAAAACGCAGAAAGTGAATCCGTAAATCGTTTCAAAATGTTTCTTGGATATTTACGGGTTTACCGCACGCGGTGACGAGGCCATGCAACTAGCGCCATTAATTTCACTTGGCATCTGGACGTTCCTTCCAGTCTGTGCAAAATGCATTTGTATATATATATATACATGCTTGTATATATATAAATGCGTAAACAGTGATATACGCACGTATTATATATACCTGCAGTCTTTCTTAATCTCTTGCGCATGCGCAGTGCAACGAAAATCGCAGCCGTAAATCCCGTAGCGTTTCTCGAGACAATCCCAACGCTGCCGACGCTATGGGATCCTTGGAGCATATTTAATTTCTGGATGAGCTATTTAGCATAATAAGGTAGTTAACGAGAGGACTGTTACATACATTCTCGGGAGTCGCGAAATAATTTTTTAACCGTATACCATTTTTTCTTCACAAAGCGCGTGGACCCTGTTAAATTTGTCTAAGACAGTGACGTAAACGCTATGAAAACATTTTCGCGAAAGGCAGGTACGGGCGTCGTAATGCGTTTTTTGAAAATAAAATTAACACACGGCAAACCGTACAATTTCTGCGCGATAATAGGACGGTTGGATATTTTAGCATTAATTTGTACATTTCTTTTTTCGCTATACACGCCTAAGCGTTCGTTCACGTGAGAAAATCCAATGAGCATCAAATTCGGCATTCGTTTCAAGCTATTGCAGTAAGTCATCCTCTTGTGTATTTTGGTATGGACGCCATACGAACGTTTATCGTGCAACGGTTGGTATGGCTATAAACAATGGGGTTCGCTAGCCAGATTAGGTGACTCCATGGGGGTCCGGACTTCGTAAGTATATATAGTAAGACGTATAAGTAGCATCGTAGTCGCGCGCAAAGCGCATGCCGTAGGCATTTATAGTAATTTAAGGAGAGCATTTTTGGGACTCAGTGGGCATTCTCCTGATTGTGACTTATGGGGCCCACTTTTTTTCTTGCCAGACCCTGCCGACCATAACTCTTGCATTAGGCAGCATTACAGAGCCTAATAACTTGGGTTTGTTAGGCAGTCCTTTGTGGTGAGATTTAGTTTTTTCCATTTTTATTTTATCTTTTATCTTTTTTTATTATTTTCATAAATCGTTCCCCTGTTCTTCCATGATTTTTCGACGCTGTCCGATCTTGACGCGTTATATTCACGTGCAAGCGTACGCGGACCGAACAGTTCATGCACTTGTGTTTTATTCCTCCTTCGTACCTCGTATCCTGTAATCTTGGCAGTTATGAAAAAATAATACTGGAACGATATAATAGCGCAAGGAGGAAGGTGAAGCATAAAAAGAAATATGTATCGCATGACTCAGAAGTTATAAGCAGTGTATACGGTACGAATTGAAAACAATACTCTATTGCTTTACTTCAGCTGCATTGTACGGACACGATCGTGGGCAACGCTTATCACTCGTACTTCTCTGTACTCCATGAAAATTAATATGCAACGTTAATGGCGCGCGCACGTTTTCCGTTGCAACTGCTGACGTAATGCGTCAGTTATTACGCGTGCAATTCTGTCGTAAAAAATTGCCGTCACTGGTGTATTCCGTTCGTAGATTATTTCTGACAAGTGTAACATAGCAAATCAGTAATACGATAACACGTATGCAGCATTCCGTTGGCGTGTGTATATATATATATTTTTGGAATTTAATTTAATTCAATAACAGTGACACTAGATAGACGAGATTTAATAATAGACTAAAATAATATGAACTGTCATACTGTATATACATATATAAGAAAGCTAAGAGTCCATGTGAAATACGATATTACGAAGAAGCGAAATTTGTCATCACTATCTTAATCTACTACAATGAATTATTCGGTTTTCACTGACAGCGTCCTGCCGCTGCCGGCAGTTTATAGACACAATAGACATACCGGACGGTCTCACTCAGTATCCTTTGTATCTCATATTCCCGTGGGATAATGCTGGATTAGAGGGATAGAGAAAGAGGATAAGCTTTCCGAAGATCCCTGGTGATGAATAATGTGAGTCTCGAGATTGGGCATTGCCGCAAAAGAAGCAGTGTGAAAAAATAACCTAGTCGATTAGTAAAAATAACCACGTAAATTGTTGCGTAGAAATATATTTTTCTTCTGTCCGAGTGATCGAAAAGAATTTTTTTTTTCGACTTTACATATATCCGAAAGTAGGAATTTTATTACTTGGTATACTTCGTTGCTACTTTTATTTGGTTCTGCTTTGTTCCGAGTATCGGGACGACACTATAAATAAATGAAAGCGAAATTGAAATTGTCGTAAATTTGAGGTTACGTTCGGCAAAAGTCCCAGAGGCAAGTCTCGGTACATTCAGACTTCTATTGTGCGTGGTTCAAGGGGTCCCATTTTAGAAGGCTTGACTTTTTTTTTTCTTTCTCTTTCTTTTTCATCTGTGCCATGGCCGAAGGAACTTCAAGCTTACCAACGTCCATGTAGCCTGCATCGGTCGTGTCTTTTATGCCCACAATTAGGGCTTGCGAACAATATTTGAAAGTATGATCTTATGCTAATAAATTCATAAGTAAATGGTGGGTGCGTGAGCAATGAAACTGAACTTATGAATTCTTTCGTGTCTCTTACAGTGCATCCTTTCATGTCCAAGGTTATTGCAGGATAAAGATTCTAATGGATGGATGAGTGAAAAGAAAATGCAAGAGGAGTGAAGAATTAAAAAGATGCATGGGCGATTAGAAGGAATGAATCTTCTTATGTATTCCGCGAGCGACCGGAACTTGCTGGTTGTGGCGTTCTGGGAAATTCTGATTGCTCAATTACCAATGCACGTAAATTAGCATTCTGTAGCGCTCCTAGTCGCTATACCTTATTACAAGACGGGGTATACGGGCTATGGGATATAGATATCCACGTTCTTTGTTAAAATATTTATTGAGTCTGAGTAAATTTTTTTTTCACGGCTAATTTCATTCTGATCATTCTTCGTGTGCCACTCGATCGGGCAGGATGTGCTTTGTTGATAAATCGGAAGTTACGTTTTTGATTGTTTTCAACTTTATCTGATTTTTCTATAGACCACGCTTCAATAGCTAGGAAACAAATTTCCTGTCCGAAGTCTCTAGGATATAATCAGTAAAGTTCTTTTCGTTTTTTTTCCCCATAAAATTTAAGTAGGAGTCCCAGGAGTTAGGTGGCTACCGGAAATTAGAATCCTGTTCACAGTATTCTATTTTATTTGTGATAAATAGAAATAAAGGAAAAAATTATATTCTTCAGAACCTACCTTCATCCGTACAGCATCCCAGCAATGTGACGACGTTAGGATGATTTCCCAGTTGTTGCATTATCTCCAATTCTCGTACCAGATCTTCTTTTTCCCTTGCCGAAGCACCTTCCTTAACTGTTTTCACGGCTACCAACCTCGTAGTGCCCTGATGACCTGTCAAATCGTCAGCCTCTGCTTTCCAAACCTGAACACAGTCATGCATTTCAAATAAAAACAGTATTCCGCATGTTTGAACAATCTTCTTCCATAAATCCTCTTTTTTCTCATTAAATTACTGACCTGACCAAAGTTTCCTTGGCCAAGAACCGTCTGCAGTCTGAGCTTGTCCCTGGGGAATTCCCATCTAGATTCCTGAGACGGTGGCGGCGGCGGTTTCTCGGCTTCGTGGCACTGCGGGCAGAATTAGCTTTATTAAAATGACAATTAAAACAATTTACACTGTTTTAATTAGGGTGAATTTTAATGGAGCCATGTCTTCGGCTCAATCGAATTACCAGGAGTGTCCAATTTCCTCAGCTTGATACTATTTAATTGCAGTTCCGTATATACCTACCAAATGTTGTATCCTTGGAAGTTTCGTTATCGTTTTCTCAATGGTCGTTTTGAAGTCGCCATTCTCGAGATTGAGCGCATCTTTTCTGCAACTTATTTCCGAGGACGTGTCGGACTCCTCGAGCACCTAAACGCACGAACGTTACTCATGATTGACTATATTATCGAGGTCATATAGATGCCGAGGATTTTGGCACGTGATTCACATGATGAAGTAATGAGAAGGAAACACCTCGAAAATACATTAAGCGAGATGATATTGCTATGGGCAATTTACAATCTTCTTGTAATTTACATGTGATTACACGAGTGGTATAATTGCTTGCTATTACGTTATTAGATACGTGATTACAAACACATGCACATTTACGTATTGTTTTTAATTACTTGATACAGTCCAATAATCATTACAAGTTTGCCGACAAATTTAGGGTATTTGTTAGTTTCGGAGGACAAGTTATGAAAACAAAAAATAAAAAAAGATAATAAGGTTACTTTAATTTCGTGCTAAAATTACATAATCGATAATTACTAATCAGTTATGTATGATTCTTCGGCACGAGTCCTTCAAGTCAGTTTTGTGCTTGAATTTTGTTTTTCACGAATGAGTAAGAGGTGAGGGGGAATAATTGACGAAAAGAAAAAAAAAAAATTTCGAAAAATTCTCAACACTCTTAAAGCGCAGCCCTTTTAACGCGGAACGAATTTCGCCGTGAAGGCTCGCGGAGCATAAATTAAATTGAACTCGACAGCCATGGGAATATAAAGGTAGAAAGGTGTAATAAGAGAAAATAGAAGTTTTACGGTGAGAGGTGAGAGAAAACATGGTTGCTTTGAAAATTAAATACACTTGGTATCTTTATGGCCGGTTTGCAATGGTCTTGTTACGCGTTATTGGATATCGATTGAAAGTACTTATACAGGTACAACGGTGTTAATCTTAATGGAATCTTGTAAGAGGAAAACAAGAATTGATGATGGTTTCGTGTTAATTTTTCAATTAGGGGAATAAACAATTTTTATTGTTGCAAGGCATTCACCCGCAACTGCAAGTAAGCTAGGCTACGACTATGCGCGTATAATATGCGCAGAAGAGGAAGAAAAAGGATTGTTACCTTACGTTTCCTAATGATCAGTCTTCTCAAAATTAGTCCGAAGCCCAAGGCTAATGGGAAAACTAGAAGCGTTGCCAAAATGTAGCTAACTACAGTGACCGTATCTTGGGTTGCAATAGTATCGCCATCGTGTCTCTTTGATATCACTTCACTGATGTTGACGGATTCACGCGGACTTCCGGTGATCATTCCGGCTTCAAAATAGCTCCTGTTCATGTCAGCTGATGGATACGCTTGTAGGTTTGGATAATAATTCGTCCTGACTCTGTGTCTGTTGCCATTTTGTCCACCATGTGTCGAATTGGCAATTCTCGTGTTATTTGAATGGTGCGTGGAATCCTGCGAAACTTCACGATTGACTTCCGGTCTTTCCCTTCTCGCAGTGCTCAGAACTTCCGGGAACTCTGTCGTTTTATCACTTGATAGAGAATCACTGTTATTCGTCCTTTTTGTTAAGGATGGATCGAGTGTTGGATCTGTGGCTGTGGTTTCTCCTCTTGTTATTATTTCCTTTTCTTCTTCAACTTTGACTTTTTCAACTTCCGTTTCTTCCTGCTCTTGCATTTCTTTTGTTATCCTCAGGTTACCGTCTTTATCCTGATTGCTCCTTTTTTCGTCGCTTCCGGTATCAACCGGAAGTACCAGATGGGGTATTGCACTTCCGTTAGTATTCATACTCCTACTAGTATTTCCATTAAATATGTCGGTCGTGTTGTAAAGATGCATTATCGGAAGTACGTCATCTTTATCTTTAGTTTTATCCGACAGGTTTCGTCCTCTGACTTCCGGCGATCGTTCGCCGTTCATTGGCTTACGTAATTCCTTCGTTATCGTTACGGTTGTTGTCTCTTGAATATCCGGTAGTATCGTATTCGTTGTTTCCGTACGTACACCGTTCGATGATCTATACCTTTTTTGAATTTCAGAAGGATCTAACTCCTCGGCTACTCCGAATGGTCTACTAGGATCAGAATTATTTTTTGGAATTTCCGTCGTGGCTTCTAATGGTTTCTCAGTGATCGGCGGTTCGTCATTGTTATTGGCGTCTGTGAACATTTTTGGAGTTACAGGAAATACAGAAGGCATCTCAGTTTGTACTATCTCTTTGGGGGGATCCGTAGTAGACATTTCAGTTTCCATATCAATTTCCATTTCTGTCGTTGTCATGATCACCGTGACTGTCATCGTGTCATCCCGTTCGTTAGTGACATTAACAGTTTTAATAGTAAGACTAGCACCGGTACCACTGTCGCCATTCAATGTCTCACTGTCATTAAAATTGGCCAATCCATCCTGCCGATCAATTTTTGTAAACTTTGTATCGGTCCCATCCTCATCGTCAAAAACCTTACTACTGCCCACCCCTTTGATAACAGTTTCACTTACCCCATCAAGAGCACCCATAACGTCACCCTTAGCGTATTCACTTTCCAAAATCGTCGTTGCACCCAAACCACGCATCTCATTCTTATCCCCAGTAAAATTATCCTTGGTAAAATTCCTCGTGTCCATAAGCCCCTTGAAAATAGATTTAATCCCCACCCTATTATTCTCAACAGTCATTGACTTCCCGTTACTTCCAGAATGCTCGTTCTCTTCCGGCACGAAGCTTCTCTGATTAAGTACGGCACTGGCAGATTTGACGAGTGTCCTTTCAGCTTCTTGAAAATTGATCGTCCCGACGTGGCCTTCCAGTCTCCCGTGGCCTCTAGCCGAGGTTTTGTTTTTCCTTCGCGAACTATGACCCCCGACACGCGTTTCCGTATCCGTTAATGTTGTTTCGTCGTTACCCGTGGCCGTGAGCGCAACAGTTGTATCTCCAACGAGAGCCGCACCGGCACTGAGTTCAGCTCCGGTACGCACGCCAGCTTCTATGGAGCCACTCGTACTGGTCCTTATCTTCGGGCTGGTCTGTTGCTGCTGTTGCTGCCTCTGCTGGTGCCTCTGCTGATGCTGCCCGCTCTTGGCGCTGCTCACCACACGGAGCTGGTCTTCTTTGCTTAACCCAGGTCCGGTGTAGTTGCGCAATAGTCGCGTCACGTTAGTTATCGTGTACGCGTACACGTGTTGTTGCGCTCCCGGTGCAACAGGTGGAATCGGCTTTACTATACTCGAGGAGATATTCGATTTTATTGGATCGTCAGGAGGCTTTGAGCCAGCGGAAGTTAATGGGATTGACGACGGGACTTTTTCGGGTTCTGACGTCTCGTTCGTCTTGGACATCCTTTTCGAGTCCTTCCTCGAATCTGGTACTACGATACGTAATGTTGCTGACGGTACTGTTGACGAAGAAGATGTTTCCTCTACTGTCTCATTGTTGTTCATTGTTTGACTGTTGTTGGTATTTCTTAAAATAGTACGAGCTCTTAAATACTCTGTGTATTGAGCTACCATGTCTCTCGTTGCTTCTGTTCTATTTCTGTCTATTGTTCTGGACGTCTGTTTTTGTTCGGTTGTACTGACGTTGTTCTCCATGCTCGATATGCCCAAAGGGGAATTATATATGGTTTTCGATGAATTTTCACTTGGTACGGTATGTGTCGGTTCGACATTCTTTCGTATCTGGGTCGTGTCAGTGGTACTCGCAATTGAATCAACTGCGTGGGTTGCACCTCCAGGCTCGTAGTTGTTCATCGGATCCCGAAATGCGTGAGCGGACGAGTTCACGGCTTGAAATAAATTCTTTTCGGTTTCACTCTTCTCTGAATTTCTTGTAGCGATCGACGCGTTTCCGACAACATCCTTACTGGGAATGATGTTCGATACTATGGTAGGATCGGAAGGTCTCACGGGAGACTTCCTGAAGTACAGTCCGCTACCGTGACTCCTGAATGAATTTTTGAGCTTTGATATTTTATTTTTCTCAACAGTCTGTTGTTCCACGGCGATATTCATCTCCTCGTTAATTATCTCCTCCAATTTTGGCACCGGACTCGTACTGCTGATCGTACTCGTGGCAACGCTCATTCTCTTCATGGAGAATCTTCTTCTTGGGCTTGGTACAGTTGGTACTGTGGGCCTCACTTCCACGGAATTGCTGCTCGTTGTATTATGCGTCTCTGGATGCAATTTCTGACCAAAGTAAAGGAATTGCGACATGTCTTCAATGGGAATGTTGCTCTCTACCGGTCTGAAGTGATTGTACAGTGAATCGGGCATTGGCACTATGTTCTTCCTGCGAGCGTCATGCTCCAGAGACTTTTGGTTATTCGTAATAGCCAACGAGGAATTCCTATTGGTGCTCGAGTAATTGCCACGCGCATTCTTCTCGTTATCATGGGTCGAACCACTGACGGATAAATTTTTCAATTCTAACAACTGCTTGATTAATTTTGGTTCCTTTCCCGTATCGTTAGTATTTTTACTTTCGTTTCGATTACTCGCAGTTTTTATGAAGCTCCTAGCAAGCGGTTCCGGATCCTCTTCGTCGACGGCGATTTCTACTTCGACCCCCTCAGGAACTGTCACGTAAATGCCATGACGGGATTCCTGCATCTCCAGGACTTCACCGATGTCCTTGGGAATTGTACCACGTGGTCTTGGATTCCTCAGGGATCGCAATTGCTCGTTCAATCTGTGACCTAAAATCTGTCGGCGTTTGGCAGCTAGTATCTCTCTGTGCTCCTGCTCCCTTTTAGCCTTTGACGTTGGCAACTCTGCGTGTAGGGACATTCGACCCTGTCGGTTCTTGCCGAACGGTACAGCTGTAACAAAAAAAAATGACAATGGTATCTTTAATAATCGCTACTCTTCGGAACCTTTCTCAAAGGTTCGTATACTTGTGACGCGCATGCGCGAAGATTCACTATGTTTCTTCCTTTGCCGCGTTTTCTTTTTACGAATAAAACAAATGGAACAAAAGAATTCGATTGGAACAAGCTCGTGTACGTTTATCAGATGACGAGTCATCAGCCGTAAGAAGGCCAGGCGTGCTTGGAACAACGGCATAGTATTTCAAATGGAAAAGGAACAAAAGAATAATACTTCGCTTCGATAATTGTAGCCGTTGTCTTACCGTTAGGATAGGTACTTGCTGTGGCGGGAAATTTAAAAAAAGACTGATTCGAATTACCGATAACTAGGTGCTAACTGCGTAAAATTGCTTGGGAAGAATCACTCAATATTTCTGAAGTTCATGGGTCACGGGATAAAGGTCAAGAGACATTAAACGCCTAGATGAACCCCAACAGCCTCGAAGGTATAATAATTAATCATGTACGATCATCAGACGGAGATCACCGAGCTGGATATGCAAATTAGATAAAATTTGCCGTCTGATCTATTCGACAGAATAGATCTACATACCCATACACACATATCACTGAGTCATTGTCGTAATCGAGCGGCATGAAAGATCAAGTTTCTTGATCTGGATCGTACTGTGAGGTCACTTGGTACCGCTACTCGCTTCGCGATCCTTCATAGATCCTCGTACATCATCACAGATATAAATGACCGCGAGAAAATTTAAATGTACCAAATCGTGATAATGAATCATTCGCGCGACAACTATGATCGAATGATCCAGATTCAGCGAGTCACGAATCGCTACCTTTTTTTTTTTCTTCGTCTATGGCATTCCAAGGATACGCAGTAACGTCTGAAACGATCTATGACAACAGATCCAATTGTTTCTCTGTCAGATCAATCTTATGGTAAGTATATGGTATAGATCTCTATAGATCACTCTTCTAACCTTATCCTTTTTACTTCGGGTAAGGCAGTCGAATACAGGGTTGCGTCGTGTCCGTCGTGAATTTTTTGTCCACCTAAATATATGGTTGCCTGGTATAGTTTTTCTTAGCTACCTCACTAAGCGATCTGTCCAGAGTCTCCCGTAACATATGTACGTAATATACGCGTACGATATACATATATCTAAGGTAAGAGAAGTGGTACCTACTAGCGGGAGACTGGAAATCATTTATCATTCTCCCTGGACACGGTACCGTGTCTTTAACGCTAGTAGTCCCTTTGCCATTTGCCCCATAAAATAAAGGTAAAACACTTTGAGGGTGTCTGCGAAAATTCAACCTACTGCAACCTAGTCTAACCTTAAAAGGCCATCTGGCAGTTACGGTACTTCTGCATGGTCGACCTTATTTATCGAGGTCAACCTTCATCAGGGCCACCTACGTTGCCAATTCTTATATAGGGTTACTCGCGACAAAAGCACCACCAGTCTACAGTCGTCAAGATGGTTCTACCATAGAAATCAAATGGAGAGGCTAACTTCAAGCGGCACGTTTGCCGTGAATAATCCTGCACATGCTTATAGCAAGTGAAACAGTTTTTGTTATTGTCCAACAAAACGTCACCACGTGCTTTCTCTTGTAAGCTATAAGGATACGTGCTTTCTCTTGTAAGTCATAAGAATTTTTTATGTTCCTATACTGGGAAAAATGTTATTTGTTTGTCTTTTGTCAAAACTACGTGGCGATGGTCGTGTAACGTTGCCTTTTACCTTGTTTTTATTTGTTTGAATAATTTTAAAAAATATCCACGTTTCCTCGAATGATAAGTTAAGATGCGATATAGCTGTTAAGCTAAGGAATTTACAAGGGCATTAAAGTCCAGCTTGTCAGCTCGTTAAAGCGTAACATTGCCATTTCGCCATGTGAATTCGGTACGAAATAGAGAATCAGACGTGTGCACGAAACACGCTAGGGGTTCGGGTGCGTGTCTAGTTATATTTTCTAAGTATTCAAAAAAATATGTTAAACATTTCCTTGTGTCGGAGTCGACTTTTTTTCGTACGAAAGAATAGGGTTAAAAAATAAATATCCATGTAAAGTAAAACATCTCCATCGCGTGTAGACTGAACGGAAGAGTAAAAATCGTATATCAATTCTTTTTAAATATTCTCCATCGTGTTTTCACTGCCTCATTTTTTAAATATTTATTACTCACCGATTCGACAAGTGAATTTTTATTTGTTTTCCTTCAAAAAAAAAAAAAAAAAAAAAAAA